GGGAAGCGAAGGTGTGGATGCGGTCCGAGATGGGATCGTAGGCTCTGAATACCAAGTGTTACGAGTGCAATTGAGTGAACGAACGAGAATTGCACTATTGAAGCAAGAGTACAATGAGCGAAGGCATGAGCGAAGAATATATTGCGAAACTACAGTGGTAACGGTAATGGTCGTGCGACGAGCCTGGGACTGAGGTTGGGAAAGTGTCGAAGCGTAGGCCCAGAGCGCGGGTTACCAGCCGAGCCGTGAGGTCGGGATGCGATGTGCGAAATTGGCGGGATGATGAATGATGCGATGGTCGCGAGTGGCAACGGTGCTGACTGAGGTGCTACAGTGATGTACGCGTTGAGCAGGGATGCGAAGTAAGGAAAAGGGAATTTCCTTACACGATGTCACTAGTGAAGTCTTCGATTCATTGTATACCTTTAGATAAGATAGGTCTATAAACTCTCAACAACCACCAAAAACGGTTTCTCTATAAACAAGTGATTACTGAAATGTGAACACAAAACATGCTTCTAAAAAAGCCCTAGGCATTGGGATAGGTGAGACATCTCTAGAAGGAAGAGCAGGCAAGAGAAACTGAAATGACGCTGGCGCAATCATGAATGCTGCCGGTTTTTTTACTCTTTACCCTAATCTCATGTTCAAGCATTTTCAATTGCCTATTTCAAAGGTTTGTCTAGATCACCCTTTAACAATGCTCCCATTCCCCGTTCCATTTATTGGGTGTGAAATTCGTAATATCTAGGGCGAATGCCATCACTTGTCGGCTCATCGTTTGTAGGAGAGTAGAAGCACGGGGGCTTTAAGTAGTGATTTGTACTCAAGCAGACATTGCATACGGTTCTCCATTGCACAAATCATCATGCACAACCAGAACAGAAAAAACTGGCAAATGCATCCCTAAACCTAACTGCAAGATTGTAGGGCATGATGCCTTCACGAGGACGCAGTATCTTGCAGTTCCTCGTCATCATAAGCACACTGACAAGTCTCAGGTCTGTCATGTCCTGGCAGGTTTTCTCGCAACGGGAGGAAGCCTTGCGATGCAAAGCATTTCCCTGACATGGAGCGAGCCACTCTTTCTGCAACAGACCCCTCTTGTGCACCAGGAAAGGCTGGTGGTGGCGCAAACAGACAGGTCTCTGTGGATCGAGAGAAGGAGCAACCAGCACCTTCAGCACCAGTCCGACACTCCTGCACGTGCTCCGGGGCTTTAGATTCTGGTTGTTCCTTGCCTGCTGTAGTACATGGAGTGCCGTTCCTGTTGTTGCGCCTGTTGCTTGGGCCAAAGATAGCAGATGCGGCAGGGGCGGAGACAACCCGGCGGTGGAGTTGCCGGGCCGGCGAGATGGAATTTAGGAGACTGGCAAAGGACGGACCATGGTAGGTTTGTGCAGGGTGAGTGAATGAGATTGGGAAGAGGGTAGGAACCACAGCAGCGACGAGGGCAGGGAAGACGGCAGGTGAGGCAGCAGGCGAGACAGCAGGTGGGACGGCTGGCAAGATGGCAGGTGCGACAGCAGGTGAGGCGGCAGGTGAAACGTAAGGCGAAACAGCAGGCGAGACAGCCGGCGAGACGGTTGAGAAGACGGCGCAGCCACTGCCAACCGAATCACCACCAGACACAACATCACGACGAGCCCCTGCCCACCGATTTGCAGAAATCCACAAGTTACCACTGTTCCTCGTGGGGGTCTCGCGTGTGTGCGCCACAGGGCCGACGCAGCCAGGAAAGATGGCAGCATGCTGCATGATGTGACCAAAAGCTGAGGCTTTAAGTCCGCCACTACAATCAAGGTCTGCTGTATCTCCCAGTGTGGACGGATTCTGCAGATTCCTGGCAAGGGCAGGTCGTTCTTCCTGCTGCTCTCCGTTCCACTTGCGGCACTGTTTCTTTGCTGCTCTGCCGTGATGCCACAGGAGGCTGCCTGGCCGCTTCTGCTGGCGCTCAGCAGGCATGCTCTGGCGGTCGTGAGGATCCTCCTGGGCGAGCAAATGGTGTTCATGCCCGTGACTTCTTGTCAGGTGCACAGCGTGCACGTCCAAGTGCTGCTGCTTTTTCTGGTGTTGCTGTTGTGGCTGCTGGGATTGCTGCTGCTGCCGCTGCTGCTGCTGCTGCTGCTGCTGCAGCAGCAGCTGTGGCTGGCAGTGCTGGCCAATGCTCAGGTTCGGAAAAACCGTGTGGGCCTGCTGGCGACGGTAGATTTGCTCGTGGGGCGAAACCCGCCCGCGTTTCGCGCCTAGGAGGCAGCGTGTTTCCACGTGGCAGCTTGAGAATCCAGCTACCGCCATGATTGCACGCAATTCGCTGGCAGGCACTGTGGGTACACGAGCGAAGCTGAGTTGAATCTGTAACCACTACTCAGATTAGACGTCTATTAGTGCTAATGGGATTCGGGTGGAACGCGCAAGGAAAGCAGGTGACGGAAGAAAGAGCTCAGATCCAAGGAACGGGTTGCATGAGCTGACACGGGCGAGGCAGCAGGTCGAACAGGAAAGCAGAAGAAAATGACGCTAATTCAGGAAATTCGGGCCCTTTATATACTCAGCCAGAGGCCACATCATGCGGACGACTAGCCTGTGCCATGTCCCGTCCCGTCCCGGGGACAGACAGGGGCCCTGCTGCTCTGTGCCTTCAAGTTGATGGGCGAGGCTTCTGGAAGCAACAGGCGGAATCACGGCAAGATCGCCGCCGCCTCTCGTCTATTACAGCGCGCGCGCCTCAAGTGGTTGGGTCGAAGGGGGAGTTGGGGGGCGGGGGGGGGGAAGAGGGGGAGAGAGCTAGGGGCGGAGGCGGGAGGGGAGCTGGAAAGATGCGGCGGAGGTTGGGGCTCGTAGGCGGACAAGGGCACCAGGGGAGGGCGAAGCGGGAGCGCCGGAAAGGGGACATGTGGGGAGATTTCCGCTAAGGGACAGAAACGGGGAACATGGATTCATAGTGGAGTGGGGGGTGAGCAGAAGGCGGGATGCAAATTGTGATTGCCCCATCCCTTCTAGTACAGTAGTACTGTAGGCACCCCCTTTCCCAGTCAGCGCCTCGCAGGCGAGGCTTTTACGGAAAAACGCCTTGAGAGGAGCAGAACATACGAGTGGGGGATTAGGGAGGCGGGGTGGAAGAGGAGTAGAGAGTGGTTGGAGGTGTGAACCAGCCATTCCTGAGTGGTCGAAGCGTGTCATCTAGATGTCATCAAGCAGACGGAACGGCTGTCTAGATGATCTCAAACGCGCGGGACTCTCTATAACTGTGGAGCGAAACCGAGCCGAAACCTTGCGACGGCAGGTTGTAGCGTGGGGACGCCGGAAGAATCTAGATCGGATCCGCTGCTGACATATGTACCACGTCAGGATGACGCCGCGGCAAGGTGCTGCTGAGGTGGCGAGGCAGCATGTGCGCTTAAGTGTCCACTACAAACGGACACATGTGCCTGAATCAACTTGTTACGTCACTCAATAGTGCTTCAGTTTGTATGATTGACGACGATAGAAGAGGGGCTAATGACGTGGCAAGGCAGCACTTCGGCCGGAAGGATCGCTACGGACACGATCATGGCAATGTGTGACTGGAATCGCACGCGATCAAAGTGGATAAGAAAGCGGTTTTTTCTTTCACACGTGGGTGTTTTTCCTCCCACCATTTCTGCTTTACCTTGCGAAGTACGTACCGTGCAGTACCGTTCCATAACGAGCCGCAGGTTGACGCATTGTTTGACAAACTAGCTAGCTATGTACGGTTGACATCATTGGTGGTGCAGATGCGACTCGCCAGATCCTGTCCCTTTCGGCCGAAGCACCATGTCTCCTCCAGCTCGGTCCATTCAGCAGACAGTTGCTACTACCATCCTTAGATCTATGTACTTTTGTGGACGCATCGTGGCGGTTCTATACTGTAGGACGTGTCGTGGCTTGATGGCCATTAGCCACGTGATGAGGACAAACGAATCTGCCACATAAAGTGGCCTTAATTCTCAGCCACGACACGCGCGCAAGCTAACCTCAGTGCATTCAAGCAGTTTCGTGGTGCGAAATAAATGAGAAAACTAAATGCGAGCGGCTTGAGAAGGCACATGCATTTTCTACCACGAGTGAGAAGATAATAAACTGTCAGTTGTGTAGAGCTGAGAAACAGCTTAGAAGCCTGGATCGACGCGGAGGACAAAGGCTGTTCCCTCACGCGCGCTATCATAATCGACAGACACGTCCTTCTCCATGTCCATACATCCGTTACTAATCCGAAAGACAAGATTGCGCATACCCTCTCTTCATACTGCGTCAACACGAGGGCGTTGGAGGCGCCTCGCGACGGAGGGAACAGCGGGAGCGTGCTGCCTGGGCTGAACTGTTCTGGTCTCGTCAGTCAACGATTTTGGGCTGTTCTGATGGAGGAAGGTGTAGGTATGATGGATGGGAGGGAAGACAAAGAGTTGAGCAGGCAGGAAGGAGTTGACAGTTTTTGGAAACTCGCGTATGCGTTCCGACTTCCCCCCCACAATCGCCAGTCCATTTCCCAGCACAAATTCGAGTTCAGTGGGGGGAAATCAGCGACTCGAAAATGCAACCGTTTTGTGTCCTCGGCATGTGTAGCCTCATGAACATTCACAATGGTATTCGATTTCCTGTCCAGCGTCTAAACTTTAGTTTGGAGATAACGAGTGGAGGCATGCTCCTTCTGGAACTTGAGTGCTTGAACTGTAGAATGATGCTTTGGGACCTTTAGCTAGCTTGGCTCAAGAGACCTCCCAGGTTCAGATGATCCATTGCAGACACACATGCGCTGCATGTCAGACAAAGAGTCTGACGGAGAGGCCATAGAAATCCCCACATGTTTAAACATTCACTGCATTGCTCTAGCCTTGTTTTTCTTCACTCCGCTGGGATTCTTCTGTTCAGAAGGGAGTATGGCACAGCTACCAAAACCCATCCATTCCATATTTCTCCGCTTTTGTTAACGGACAAATGGCAAACCAAGCTAAGGTACACCATACCAGCAGGTGTCATTAAAATATGAGCTTCTTGAGGATGAGAATGACAAAGAGAGCCAAGACCGCCACCACGAGGACGAGTATGCAGAAGATAAGAGCTGATTGCTTTTGTGTCTTCTCAGCCTGGAAGAAACAACAGAGAAGAATATGGCAATGCACCGAGATAAACAATGCATTGTTAGGAAGAAACAGTTACAATAAAAAAAGTTGCTAAGAATGTTTGTATTGGTAACACAACTTACCTTTTTCAGCTCCTCAACCCCCTTATCAACGTTTGCACTGATATTCTGAATGTTGTAGTCAATCCGGTCAACAATGGTTCCCTGCACACCAGCACAAAAGAGCACCACAGCCCACGCAACCAGCAACGCAGGCGTAAACACCAACAGAAACGAAGAACATACATGCCATGTCCAGATCACTAAGGAGAAAAGCGACACAATAACATGGGAGCACAGCACACAAGTGAGAACAGCAAGCATTGTTTCATTTGTTCACACCTGATCGATGACGAGGACTGAGATGTCCTTCATGATCTGGGCGAGGTCATGCACTGACTGCACAATCTGCTCCACCGTGGAAATTAGACAGGAACGGAACCAAGGGAGGGAGCACACGGAGATAGTTGAGAGAGAAAAAGCACATGAGCGAGAAGCCGCCGAGCAACGGCTGTTCAAGCAATAGCTCAAGGCTACCATGAGGAATGCACAGGCGCATGAGCTCAAGGTCCTAGTAATTAAGTGTTACTGACCCATTTTTGACACATTTCCGTTCTTCATCAGGTAACCAGACATATTTTCCAAAAGGCAGCTCACCTCTTGGATCTCTTTCTCCCTCTCTGCTGTCACATTCTCCATCTGCCTCACTCGCAGCAGCTGCCGCTCCTCAAACTCCTGCAAGACAACCGTGCAAACGATCAGTGCTATCAGATGATGCTGATAATGCGAATCGTGCAATGCTGGTGATGATGGCTGATATTCATGATGGTGATGATGTTCATGAGTGGCTGATGCTCATAATGGTGATGGGATGATACCCAATGCTACTCGGGTGATGCTGATATAGTGTTGATTGTGGTGCTCTAATGCTGCTAATACCGCTACATGTGAGATGCTGACAATGCTGACTGAATGGTGCTCATAATGCGGATTTGTATGGCGCTTAGAATGTTTACTGGATAGTGCTCATGCATGCTCATTCATTGATGCTGATTGTGCACATTGGATGATGCTCATAACACTGACGGGATAATGCGGATGAAATAATCCTGACAACGCTATAAGATGGTGCCGATCCAATGACGTTGATGCTGATGGAGTGTTGCTGATCGAATGATTTAGATTAGAAGGTGCTGATAAGGGTATTTAACAACTGCTAACGAGCTGGTGAAGTGAGGTGGGAACGAAGGAGTGAAAAAGCTAGGGCTCATTGGGTGATGTCCCTCATAACGCTAATTATATAATGCTGATGGATTGATCCTGACAATGCTATTGAATGATGCCGATCCAATGACGCTGATGCTGATGGAGTGTTGCTGATTGAATGATTTAGATTAGAAGGTGCTGATAAGGGTATTTAACAACAGCTAACGAGCTGGTGAAGTGAGGTGGGAACGAAGGAGTGAAAAAGCTAGGGCTCATTGGGTGATGTCGCTCATAATGCTAATTATATAATGCTGATAAATTGATCCTGACCATGCTATTGGATGATGCCGATCCAATGACGCTGATGCTGATGGAATGATGCTGACTGGATGATGTTAATTGGATGATGCTGATAAAGGTTTCTAACAACAGCTAACGAGCTCGTGAAATGAGGCGGGGGCGGAGGAACAGAAAAGCCAGAGGGGGACGAGGGGGGATTCTGGGGAGGGGGGAGGGGGGAAAGGGTTCACTGGTGCAGGGTTACATGTTGAATGGTCATGGTGGAGAAAGGGGGGTGGAAGGAGGGAGGGGAAGGGCAGTTAAGTGGGGGAGGACACCGTATATTGTGAAATGGGAGAAGAAACAGAAGGGACAGATGAGCAGGCGAGTACGACTCGGCAACAGAGTGACAGAGAAAGAGACATAGAAAGGACAGCGAGAAGGGACAAATGGTGGTGGTGGGGAAGGAAGAACTAGGGACGAGAAACGAGAAGGGCTTACTGGGTCAAAGTAGTCATCCTCATCAGCTTGAGCTGCACTGGATGATGCATCGTGTAGCCTGCCTGATGACCCACCAGCGGCAGAACGGCCCAGTACAGCCTGACACGCACAGTTGCAACAATTTCACAGGCAAGTACACATGGGAGTGAGTGTTTTGAGACGTCTCAGATTCATCCTCATCAGATTGCGCTGCACTGGATGATGCTTCGTGCAGCCTGCCTGACGACCCACCCCAGCGGCAGCACGGCCGAGCACAGCCTGACACGCACAGATTGCAATGTCACAGACAGTAGACATAGGAGTAGGTGGGAAACCAAAAGCACGTGGCCAGATATAAGCGGACGGAGAACAATCATAGAAGGAAGTAATCTGAGAGGAGGCCCTCGTATCCTGGTGTTATTATGACATTTGCAAGTTCAGAGCCCTCTTTCGGTGTCTCTGTAGCGACCTTATATGCCCACATTCGCTTCAAACATTCAGCAAGTGCACATGCTCACAGCCAACCAGTGTCAGCTGCACACGAATACACACCTTTTCTTGAGGCTGCTGTTGCTGCTGCAACCGCCGTAGATACTGCTTTGTCTGTTTGCGGAAATCCATGGAAAGTTGTTGCAAATCCGTGGCCATGCATCTCTGATAACAGAAAGTGGAGGATTGATGGGATGGTGAGAGAAGGACGAAGTGGGTGCGGGAAAGGGTTAAGGTGGAAAAGACGGAAGGGGACAAACAGACAGCCTCAGTGAGCACCCGCGAACAGATGCGTTTCATCGGTTCATCTCTCTGAGCTTTCTTGAGTAACCGGATTCAAATCTGCATCTTTCAGTCTCATGTTAGACATTCAAAGCTCACCTGAACGTTGCGCGCAATGGCAGCATTCCCCGCTGACGTCGCTTCTTTCCGCGAAAGCTGCTGCAGCCGCTGCTCGCACGTCTTCAAGGACCGCGTGATTTCCGCCGTGAGTACCTCCATGGTTCTCTCATGCTCGTTCTTCTTTCCCCGCGCATCGTCCGTATCAAACGACGGTAACAACGCGCGAGCCTGGACCTTTGCTAGCTCACCCATCTTGCCTCTAATCTTTTGCATATCGTCCTTTATCTTGTCCGACACGTCTACCCACACCGGCGGTAGGCCTGGGCTTCCTAGACCACCGGAAGCAGATGGTTGCGAGGTTGCTGCTCCTGACGTCCCTGCTGAAAGCCTGAACCAGAGCGTGGGGGAAAAAGAAAATGAAAAGAAGCTGCTGAAAGCTTGCCAACAAAAATACACCAACAGGAATTGTACTAAAGCAACGCATGGCAGAACGACCGACAGCATCTTCCGTATTCAATCAACAATAAGGATTACGTTGTATCAAGTACACACACATGAGCATACCTCTCTCCAGTGTCTAGCCGAGTTAGTTGTACATAGCCTCCTCCTTTTCTTCCTGTCCCCCATCCCTTTTCCACCTGATCAAGATCGCGAGCGGCTCCGGCGTTTGGTCTAGTTGATTTGAGAGAATCTCGATGTTTTATAAAAACTGCTGTACGATTTCGTGTCGCCATGTCGGATCGTCACTGGGAAAAGTTTAGCGGTGGGTCGGCGAAATTCTATCAGATTGGCTCAGTTCTAACAGGCTAAACTAGTGTTGAGCAGAAATAGTAAATGAGCTCTATGGATCGTTGTTGGTGAAAAGGAACGTGATGTTACGTCATGTCCTCTCGTCATCTACCTAGCAGCTGCACCGTTGAATAATCATGCCACGCGATTCAAGTTCAAGACCGTTGAGGGTGGACGGGATGCTCACACACTTTGACTCACGGCGTCTTCGCACTGCGTCTCAGGGCTGAAGGATTGAAAATCTCACAAAACAGCCTGGGCAATCCAACCTAACATAATGAAGGTATCTGGTACCGCTGCCGTGCTCCCTTGAATCCACCACAACCAAGTTTGACTGTCCGACCAACTGACTGCTACCGAATTCGGGTTTGGTTTGGTTGGAGGGAAGCTGCTGCTACGGCGGGACGTCAGGCGAAACGGCATTGGGAATGAAGTCACTGCCAGCCAGCGTCGCCAACGGAAAGATTCGGCTTCTGGAAGAGGAACACTGCTCGTCATAGCTGTGTACCTTTGATCTTATGTTTTGCTGGAGTAGTTAAAAAAAGAGGGCAACACATTTATCCAAATTACTGGAAGGAACAGGAGTGGAGCATGTCATATGTGCACAAGAAACTGCATACAACAGTAAAGCGTTGTAGATTATCAAACTTCTGAGCAGCATTGCATTACTGCAACATGCGCCAGGAAAAAAACAAGCCAAAACTGTCAAACATACCACCGAGCACATTTGCGTGTGCCACGCCACAGTACAATTCTGCAATTTTTACCAACAGCTAACAACCATGCTGTGAAACACATCAGCACAGAAACGACCACGACAAATATCATCCAGTGGGGGTGTCCGGAGGAGGGAGGGTTGTGATGGTGGGTGCAGCGGGTGGAGCGGGGAAGGAGGAGTGCTGGTGGTGCTCCGGCCTGTGCTCCACCTCGTAATCCAAATGCACGAACGCACGCTCTATCTCCGGTAATCGCTCCAGCTTGTTCTGAAGCGACTCGCCTATGTCATGCGTCTCCTGCAATAACAATAAAATCGAGTGAAGGGAGTGGGGGGGAGGGGGAGCCACAATAACAAGAGAGGAGGGGAGAGACAGGAGGGAGAGACAGGAGGTTGAGACTGGAGGGTGAGATGGGGGGGGGGCATCAGAATCAGGTTGGTTTTTTATGGTTGGTTCGGCCAGGGAGTGGGGAAGGAGGAGTGCTGGTGGTGCTCTGGCCTGTGCTCCACCTCGTAATCCAAATGCACAAACGCTCGCTCAATCTCTGGTAATCGCTCCAGCTTGTTCTGAAGCGACTCGCCTATGTCATGCGTCTCCTGCCATACGAGCAGATAGGAGAGATGGAGTGAAAACCGATAGGAGCAGACGGGGAGGACAGAGAGAGCGAGGGAGAGGGGTAGAGAAGAGGGAGAGATGGGAGGGAGAGGTTGGGATAAAAAAGTGATGTGGTGAGAGCAAGTCAATCTAACCGCAGACTCACAATACCTCACCCCTAGCCCCTTGCAACTCAACCCCAACTCATCTCCACTTTTGAGACGTCTCAAAAGTACCTCACCCCTAGCCCCTGCAACTCAACCCCAACTCATCTCCACTTTTGAGACGTCTCAAAAGTACCTCACCCCTAGCCCCTGCAACTCAACCCCAACTCATCTCCACCCGTCAGCTCACCCCACGCACCCATGACCTCAACTTGATCACCCTGAGCTCACCTCAAGTGGCATGTCCCGGGGCAGCACAACATCCACTTCCGTGAAGTAGAGTGTGCCGAAGGTGTAGGCTTCTCCCATCACTCCGAGCTCACCCCAAGCAAGCAGCATGCCTCACCTCACCCCGAGAACCTTACTTTTGAGTTGACTCAAAAGCATGCCTCACCTCACCCCGAGAACCTTACTGCACTCACCTCGAGAGGCATGTCCCGGGGCAGCACAACGTCCACCTCCGTGAAGTAGAGCGTGCCGAAGGTGTAGGCACGCACGGTGTCGATAGCCAGGATGGCCTCGTGGTGGTTCCAGCACAGGTACGTTATCTTCTGCAGAAACTCGGGCGGTGCCGACCGGCCCGTGAGCGAGTTGACGTTTTCCAGGACCGTGCGGCCCCAGTTGATCATGGTGTATAGGGCGAGCTGGACGGGTGGGGTTGGGGGGGGGATCGGGGAAGTGGACGGGAGGAGGAATGGAAGGGAAGGAAGGGAAGGAAGGGACGGAATGGAAGGAAGGAAAGGAAGGGTGTCGATAGGCAGGATGGCCTCGTGTAGAGGGCGAGGTGGAAGGAGGGGAGAAGAGGGGTGGGAGGGGAGGAAGGGAGGGGATAGGTGGCGCCAGCTGTCCACTGCGTGACGGGCGACCTGCCATGCAAGGGAGTTGGGTGATGCGGAAGGGGAGTGGGGAGGTGGGGAGAGGAGAGATGGATGGAATTGTAACAACTGCGTATGAGGTTGTTAAGAACCCAGAATGATGAGGCTACAGATGACAGGGGATGGATGGCATGGATGGGTTTCATGGGTGGAGAGTGGATGGATGGCATGGGTGGGTGGCATGGGTGGGTGGCATGGGTGGATGGCAGTGGGCGGCAGGGAGACCCTACCGGAGTGTGGCCGACGGGGTCGATGCACCAGGCAACGGCCCCTGTCAGCACAGCTGCCGCCAGGTCGGTTTTGAGAAGTCTCAGAATTGACCTGCAACAAAATGCATGGAGGGCGTACCAGAATGGCGCCGACAGGGTCGATCCACCAGGCAACGGCACCTGCGAGCACAGCAGCCGCCAGCCCCACTGTGTTGGTCACCACGTCAAAGAAATGGTCCTGCGGGAACAATGGAGTGGTGGCATTGTGGTGGAATGGTGGTGTCACGGCTTTTGAGGTGACCTCTGAGTCGAAACACAAGCAATGCGCCTCAAAAACAGCTGCCAGCCCCACGGTGTTGGTAACCACATCGAAGAAATGGTCCTGCGGGCACACACAGTGGAATGGTGGCGCAGTGGTGTTGTGATGGAAGCGAGTTTTGAGACGTCTCAAGAAAAAGCTGCCAGACCCACCGTGTTGGTAACCACGTCAAAGAAATGGTCCTGCAGGCATGCACGGTGGAGTGATGGTGGAATGGTGGTGTGGGTGGCATGGTAAGCGATTTTTTAGTTGTCTTAAAAATAAGCTGCTAGCCCCATTGTGTTGGTCACCACGTCAAAGAAATGGTCCTGCAGGCATGGTGGCACGGGCGTGTCATGGAAGAGTCAGGTGGTGACATAAAAGTGCCATGGTGGTATCATGACTGTGGAATCGTTACAGAGAGAAGCATGGGAAGGAACGCAGAGGGCAGAAATCACTTTCGAGAATTCTCAAGAGTGATTTCAACATAGTGAAGCAGAACTAGACGCAGATGTAGGAGGGAGAGGCGCTTCAGCTGTTGCGCGCAACATGTCTGACGAGCAGCGGAAATATAAACTTTCTGAGAGTGGACGCCATGTTAGCAGCAAGAGAACTTCACCTGAGCGTATGTCATGACGATGTCGTTTCCTGTGACGATGCGGCAGTAGACGTAGAGTGCGGCCTTGACTGCTCCTGAGGCGCCCCAAAAGTCACCTGAGAGCATGGCATGGGCTAGACGATCATCTCACCTGAGCGTATGTCATGACGATGTCGTTTCCTGTGAAGATGCGGCAATAGAAGTAGAGTGCGGATTTTACTGCAATCACGAACAGCATGATCGCCACATACACCTGCCACTGGCTGCCCAGCCCCACCGTGGACTGGGGGGGAACACACACAGGGGCGGGCGGATACACAAGGAAGGAGGAGGATGGGGTGTGAGTGGGGCATGGCAATAAAGAGTTAGTGATCGTGTAACTCATACTGAGTCAGTGATCGTGTAACTCATACCGAGTCAGTGATCGTGTAACTCATACCGAGTCAGTGATCGTGTAACTCATACCGAGTCAGTGATCGTGTAACTCATACCGAGTCAGTGATCGTGTAACTCATACCGAGTCAGTGAGGCGCCTGACGCCCTCCAGCAGCACTTGGAAGCCGAGAGTGGCCATGATGGATGCAAACACTATGATGCCCTGAGGGGCCATGGGAAGGGGAAGAGATGGGAGGGGGGAGGTGGGGTGGAGACAAGGGAAGGGGAAAGACAGGGATTTTGAGTCGCCTAAAGCCCTCCAGCAGAATCCGGAAGCCGAGAGTAGCCATGATGGATGCGAACACAATGATGCCCTGAGGGGTCAAGGGAAGAGGTGTGGGGGGTGGAGGGAGCACAAAGGCAAGGAAATAGTAGAGACTAGAGGGTTTCAGAGGCGCAATGCGGTGGAGTGCGGTGGAGCGCCGAGCAGTGCGGTGCCGTGCAGTGCAACACGCTGGAGTGCGGTGCAATACGGTGGAATGCGGTGCAGTGCAGTACCATGCAGTGCCATGTGGTGCCGTGCGGTACGCACCAGGGGCTGCATGCGCGCCTTGCCGATGGGGTACTTGTAGGGGTTGTGGCGGCGCATGGAGCGGGCGGTGTACCAGAGGATGAAGCCCGACAGCAGGTCCAGCAGCGAGTCAAGCGTCGACGCTATGATCGACAGACTGCCTGACTCTATGGACGCCGCCACCTGCGTGCAGCGCGGTGCAGAGCGGTGTGGAGTGGTAGAGAGGCGTGCAATACGGTAGAGTCGAACGGAACATGGAGAAGGGAGAACAATTAGCAGCAGATACAGAAAAATTGGGTGAAGTGGAGAGCCAAACAACAGTGGCAGCAGCCTGAGAACAGCAACCATGGTGCAATTACCGTGGCTCACTGCAGTGGATTCTCAACCATGGTGCAATTACCACGCATTTAGACAATCAACGAGATGACGGTGGTGATGCTTTTAAGGCGGCTCACGCACCTTGACAATGAAGAGGACAATATTGGCGATGTTAAAATCTGAATCGCACTTTTGAGGTGCCTCAGAAGTAGTTTAGAGGCGCCTCAAAAACCAAGAATCTCGCACCTTGACAATGAAGAGGACGATATTGGCGACGTTGGAGATCTGAATCGCCCAGTGCTCGCCTCGTGCTGTCTTGGCTGCTGCTCTGGCCTCCTGAGGGGCCGAAACAAGGGTTGAGAAGGAGCTCGCGTCAGCAGGAGGCAGTACAAGACAATTCTGTGGGTCAAGACTTGTGGACAGGACACTCATTGCGGTAGAGCTTTAACCGCAGCACAGCTCTCACCTCAGAACATCGCTCACCGCAGCACAGCTCTCACCTCAGAACATCGCTCACCGCAGCACAGCTCTCACCTCAGAACATCGCTCACCGCAGCACAGCTCTCACCTCAGAACATCGCTCACCGAAGCACAGCTCTCACCTCAGAACATCGCTCACCGAAGCACAGCTCTCACCTCAGAACATCGCTCACCGCAGCACAGCTCTCACCTCAGAACATCGCTCACCTCAGCGGAGGGTCGCAGCAGGTGCTCGCTTAGGGCGTCCATCTCGCTGAAGCCGTCAATCATCTCGTTCTGCCGCTGGTAGTACGCGCTTATCGCGTCGTCCGCGCTGCTCACTGACACAATTCCGCGTGGCGGGAGAGCGGAGAGCGACAGAAGTGGGAGGTAGGGGAATAGGCTTCCATCAACATTTTCTTTCTATCCCTCTTTCTTTCTTTCTTCGCATCCAGAGATATTTAAAGACGCAAGAAGAAAACTCATGGAGCTAGTTTTGCAAGATAGGAAACAAACTAGTTAATTTCTAATTTGATACCTCGGAGTATTCCCATTCTACTGGAGCCGCGTTCGTCATCGCCTAAGTCCCGCCTGGCAGCGGCAAATTGACTGTGATCCAGTCGCCATTGCCTTTCCCTCTCCCGCTCGCTCCGCGACCTGTCTAGGAGCTCGGATTCACCGTCTGTCGCTGCTGCTGCGCTTAGTGCGACCTGCCTAATCTCCTTGGTTTCGTCGCGCTTTACGTCAGCTGACCGGCGATGCAATCCGTCAGCCGCCACGGAGACAGAAACGTGACGGACCCCGTCGACTCCGGTAACGGTGGAATGATCGGGGGTGGGAGGATCCCCGCCAGAATCGCTGCCTGGAGAACCCATATCTAATATGACGGGTTTGACCAGGAACTTGCGTACAGCTAAATGTATCCGCGGATACCACTCAGCTGTTTTTATGAAGTTCCACCTAGCACTGCAGGCAATGCGATGCCTCTGATTTCAAGCGATTGCCGCGAAGACAGCCAAGAATAATAAGTTGAATTGGCTAGCTGGGAGGTGCTTGTTGTGTGTGGTTGTGCAGAGATACTTCTTTCAAGAGGCGTCTTTTGAAGGTGATGCTGGAGGGTGTCTTCCATCTGGGCGGGTGGATGCCGCTAAATTAGTCGCATCGACGGTTTCGATCGGCTGGCATGTGGTTCGTGTGGAAATATTGATGGCTGCGATTCATCTTCATCCACACAGCCTGAAAAAGTCGTGTCCGAATTTGACAATGTACAGTAGAGGTAGCCAAGCTGTCGGCCAAAGCTTTCGCGTGGTCGGTATCCCCCAGGCTTGTTGTTCAGGTTACAGTATCTCGTCGAAGACTTTTGATTGGTGTAAATTTCGTTCGGCAACTGTGACGTTTCGTCCACCACATGTGATCAAGAGAACAAGACCCTACGAACCAAAGAAACGAAGCTAACAATTCCGAACCGAGCAGCAAGGGGCAGCATCACCTCCTCGCCACAAGCTTGCGCAGAGATTGTTCGCACGACATGTTACCGCTGCACGCGAATTGCCCGTCATCGCATCAGTCACAGGTAGGTGAAAGCCATGGGTGGGCCGGCCTAGATGCTTCCATTTTATCACCGTCTGCTTGCAGGAAGCCAGTTTACTTCTCCGACCATTTGTGCTGCGGGAACTGAGAAATGAGGTGGTTTGACTCAGAACGCATGCCATGTGATAGGTATCTTAGATCTGAAATGGCTATATACTTGAATGATTTCTTCTTAATCGCCTCCACAGTACTTGGATCCCGATTAGCGAGCATGTAACTTGCTGCGAAAACGTAATCGAAATACAAAAGCACGACTTTGAATTACGCTACGATGTGGGGAATCACCGGAATGGACGTCACGAAACGCGTCGGAGCGTCGTCTCCGATGCGTCAAGAAGCGAGGCAAAGAAGTTTTTTTAAAAGGGGAGGGGGAGGTGGTGGTGGTGGTGGAGGTGGAGGAGGAGGCATTGGGGGATTCTGCAGCGGATTAATTAAGCGGCCTTACTGCTGCTCACCACTGGTTGCTCTCGTGCTCCTTTGGCTGATCGGCTTTGGCATCTGGAATAGCGGCCTTTTCAGGTAAGTCCGTAGCGACATTGGGCAGGAATCTGGAAGCCTGGAATGAGGGATGAAAAACTGGTTAGTTGAGGATTCTACCGACAGTTTATGAAACAAAATTTCGGCTGTTGGACTTATTCGGGGCGACCACTCTAGACATAAATGTGTCATCCGCAAGTTGTTGTCAGCGCTCCTGAAACGTCGCAATGCGAATTGATTATAGGAGCAGAAATCAGTGTTTTAAAAAGCCGGTTCTCAATGTTCGATAACGTTCTTTCCAATCGGTACATTCCCTTCCCGTTGCTTTTTCTCCAGAAGCCGAAATTCCTCCACGTCTGCTCCTGTCATCGGTGAAGACGATGATCCCTATGCCAGCGGCCAGCCTGGTGACGACGCATGGACGGCTAAGTCAACCAAGACCTCTCAACCGGCCATCACCGGTACAAATCCCTCTCTTTCTGACGCGTCTGACGACGATGATGACCCCTGGTCTTCCAAAAACACGAATCCTGGTTCGGTGACGTCGCCCAGCCTTGGCAATGTAGGTTCGGAAAGCGAATACGGGGATGGTCTAGGAGGATCGGAAGGATCAGAAGTAGGAAGTGGAATGGGAGGTGGGAAAGATGCCAGTACCAAAGCTGAAACGGCCCAACCAGCGGCTAAGGCTGGGTGGTTTTCTTGGTTATGGGGTGGTGGGAAGAAGGAGACGGAAAGCCCTAGCACTGCGTCAGACGAGGAGGGTGAGGGAAGCGGAATCGGGACAGGCGGGTTTAGACCCGGAAGCGGGTCCGGGCTGGGTTTTGGAGAGGCTGGTAACGAGGATGAGGAAGACGGGGATGGAGGAATGGGAGGTTCGACAGGGTGGGGTTCGAAGCTAGCTGGCTCTGGACCTGGGGGTGGTAGGACAGGAGGGTTTGGCGGCCTGCCGGCAACGGGTATGGAGGATGATGAGGATGAGGAGAGAGGTGCTGGTGGTTTGGGTGGCGGAAGAGGGAGTGCGAAGGGAGGGGCGTTTGGGGCTCGAGAGGAGGGGTTTGGTGGACGTACGAGTGGGAGGATGGGTGCTTTTGGTGGGCGTGGCGGTGCTGTGAAGAGAAAAGGGAGTGCGTTTGGCGGGGATGGGGAGGACGAGGAGGAGGATGGGGAAGGCGGGGGAGGGAGCGGAGGGGCGTTTGGTGGAAGGCTGGGGAGTGCTGGTTCGGGTAAGATGGGCAGGATGGGAATTGCGGGAGGGAGTGGTGGGTGGGGGGGAAAGGGAGGTGGACGGAGAGGAGGGGAGGACGAGGATGAGGAAGAGGAGGAGGGAATCGGTAGTGCGATTGGGCAGATGAGAGGAAAGGTCGGAGGTTTGGGAGGAAGAGGGGGAGTGAGAGGAGGGCGGGGGAGAGCGAGTGGGGATGATGAGGAGGAAGAGGAGGAGGAGGAGAGGAGCGCTCGTGGGGGTAGAATGGGGAGGAAAAGGGGGAACAGGGGGGATGATGAGGATGAGGAAGAGGAGGAGGAGGATGGAGGGGAGGGAAACGCAGAGGAGGAAGAGGACGAGGAGGAGGAAGAGGAGAGTCCTAGGGCTGGGAGAAAGGGGCGGAAGAGAGCTGGGGATGAGGAGGAGGACGAAGAGGAAGGAGACGAGGATGAGAATGAAGAGGAAGAAGAGGAGGGAGGGGAGGAGGAAGAGGAGGAGGAGGAGGAAGGAGGAGGCAGGGCGAAGCGGAAGAAGGTGGGAGGGAAGAAGAAGAGAAGTGGAGGGAAGAGGAAACGGGCGCGGGGAGGGAAGGATGAGGTGGATGACGCAGTGGAAGAATTCGAGCAGGCGGCCAAAGAAGCAGAGGGGTTAGCAGCACGAATCAATAAGAAGAACCCGAGAATTAAGGCGAAGAAGGGGGTTGCAGTGGCAGAGGAGGAGGAAGAGGAGGAGGATGACGAGGAGGAGGCGGAGGAGGAGGAGGCGGGGCGGGGAACGGGGCGTGTGAGGCAGGCGGGGAGGGTGGGGAAGGATGCAGCGAAGAGAAAGGAGGAGGAGCGTGTGGCGAGTATGTTTTACGGGACCAGGGCGGCGGACGAGGCTCCCAGTGTGGAGGACGCGCAGGTGGAGGAGGAGGAGGAGGCTCCGGGGGAGGACGATGAGGGGCTGCTTGATTTTGCCTCGCTGCGGATTCCAGGCACCGGCGTCAGAGGCACCAAGGTGAGTGAGCGGTGTTCGGTTTCCTGGATCACTACGGTGTTCGGTTCCCCGCGATGCCTGCCCCACTGATGGGTACTTGCCATGCCACCCTCCCCATTGTCCCACCCCCTCCTCCCTCCTCCCCCCGCCACCATCAGGTGATGGAGGTGGAGCGGCAGCTGGCGTGTGTGGCGAGGGAGGGGCGGTGGGCGCTCAACTCGACGCCTAGATGGCTGCCGTGGGACCTCAACCCGCTGAGAGTCAAGGAGCAGCCCAACTACCGCACCTGCGACATGCTGCACGCCCAGCGGTAAGAGATAGATATCAACATATGAACTGCGAGTAACGAATAGCATTGCCGTGGGACCTCAACCCGCTGAGAGTGAAGGAGCAGCCCAACTACCGCACCTGCGACATGCTGCACGCCCAGCGGTACCTGGATGACTCCTGTTGTGTAACTGCTCTGAAATAACTTCAAAAGAGAATCATGTTTTCTTCTTCTTCTTTGATTCCCGTGACTGCCCTCACCACCCTTCTAAGCCCTTATGCCACGCTTCACCCATGTCCGTTTAGCCTCTCATAATTCCGTTCCTCCTTGCCCCTCTTTGAATGGCGTCCCCCTCTCACCTGCCATTCCCCTTGTCCTTCTTGGGCCTTCCTTCCTCGATCCTTGCCTCCCTTCTCATTCCCCCACCCATTCAGGGAGGGCGGCATTTACGGCCTCCAAGCCGAGCAAATCCGCCAGAAGTACTCCCGAGCCTCCCGCCGCCGAGGCTCGGCCGCACCGGACTGGAAGGTTCGGCGGGAGGTGCTGTACGAGTGGCGCAGCAGCGAGCCGGAGCGGTGCCCGTTCGTGCGGTTCGACCGCGAGGGTTTCTGCCGGGCAGTGCGGGGGCGGAACGTGGTGCTGGTGGGGGATGCTTTCAGCCTGGACATGCATGACGCTGTGCTGAACCATCTGGTTACTGCTGCTACGAAAAGGGATGCTGGTCGACTTGGCGATGGATGGTGAGAGATGTGTTTGTCTGCCGGGCAGTGCGGGGGCAGGAACGTGGTGCTGGTGGGGGATGCGTTTAGTCTGGACTGGACATGCATGATGCTGTGCTCAACCATCTGCCCACCGCTGGGACCAAAAGAGATGCCGGCCGCCTGGGTGATGGATGGTGAGAGGCAAGGGAGGGAGGGAGGGAGGGTGGTTGGTAATGGAGGGACGGGGACAACCCATCTTCTGAGCTGCAGGCTGTTGCCTTCAAGCCATCTTCTAAGGCACCTCATAGTGATCCTTCCCCCCCCTCCACATGTGATTTCCAGGGCCTATGTCACGGGGGGCGCAGCGCATGCATTGATGCAGACCACCAGCTCTGTTCCTCCCACATCCTTACCTAGACTCATGTCCCTCACCACTCACCTTCACCCCCGCCCCCCGCCTTTTGAGACGTCTCAAAAGGCCCCCCCCTCCACATGCGATTTCCAGGGCCTATGTCACGGGGGGCGCAGCGCATGCATTGAGGCAGCGCAGGCCACCAGCTCTGTTCCTCCCACATCCTTACCTAGGCTCACGTGCCTCACCACTCACCCTCACCCCCGCCCCCCGCACAAACTCCTCATTCGATTGCCCCCAGGGCCAATGTCACGGAGGGCGCATGCTTCGAGGCGGGCCACCAGCTATGCACCGACGTGCCCATCAACCCCACCTCCGCTGTTCTCCCCTCCTCCACCGCCTCTGGCTCGTACGGCAAAGGCCCCCCCGACACCACTGGCGCAGCAGGAGGGGGGGATAGGCAGGGGGTGGATGAGGAAGGTGGGAGTGCTAGCAGTATAGCTGCCGTGCGTGGGAAGGAGCGCAGGAGGCGGGGGAGGAGGCAGGGAGGGGGCGCTCGAGGCCGCATGCTGCTGTGGGAGTCCGATGGGAGCGAGGAGGAGGACGAGGAGGAAGGGGCGGAGGGGACAGAGGGAGGAAGAGATGGGGGAGGAGGGGGAGTTGGGGGAAGGGTGGCTCGAGGGAGCACCAACGGGGGAGACGAAGGGGATGAGGAGGATGAGGAAGGCGGGGGAAGCGGTGGGGGTAGCCGCAGCGGCTGGAGTTCAGGGGGTGGCAGCACTGGTGGAGGAGGGTCGGGGTCTAATCTCCAGCTGGGGTCCAGGTCTGGGTCAGGATCGGGGCTAGGTTCGGGCAGAGGAGTGGCGAGGGGCGGGGAGGCATCGTCGGCGGCGGGGTTTAACTTGCGGGTGGTGCTGAATCCGTTTCTGACGCCTGACACAGGCCGCCCCACACGCTACAACACCCGCTGGCTGCGCCGCCTGCGGCGGTGGCGCACGGATATCCTCATCCTCTCCCGCACCGCGCTCTTTAATGACAGTGAGTGCACCCTGGAACATCCCTATTCTTTCTTCAGGCTACTTGAAGGTTGCTTTCCGAGGCCCCTCAAATAGTTCTTTTAGCCTGAGGCCCCTCCGGACATGGTGCTGCTGCAGGAGGTGCGGGACACCCTGGAGGCAGTGCGCGAGCTCAACCCAGACATGCTGGTCATCTGGCGCAACTCCCCACCTCCCTTCCCATGTAACCCCTCTCACGCCCTCCCCAGAGGATCTGATGCTGCAGGAGGTGCGGGACACCCTGGAAGCAGTGCGCGAGCTCTATCCGGACATGCTCGTCATCTGGTGCAACTCCCCCCATGTATCCCTCCCTCCCTTTCCCTCCTCTCTCCAGAGGACCTAATGTTACAAGAGGTGCGAGACACCCTGGAGGCAGTGCGCGAGCTCTATCCGGACATGCTGGTCATCTGGCGCAACTCCCCTGCGGGCCACCCCAGCTGCCACCGCTTCACCCGCCCGCTCAAGCGCCGCCCCAAGCCGCTGCAGCTCAGGGGGCAGCTGCCGGCTACTTGGACCAGACATGCTGAGATGAATGCTGCCGTGCGGTCTCTGCTCAAGGTGAGTGGCGCGCGCATGGTCAAAGTTGGTAAGCAGCAGGCATTATCAGGGTGAGGTGAGTGGGTGCTGGATGCAGCAGCAGCAGGTCAACAGCAGCCGCTGCAGCTCAGGGGGCAGCTGCCGGCTTCTTGGACTAGACATGCTGAGATGAATGCTGCCGTGCGGTCTCTGCTCAAGGTGAGTGGTGCGGGCTTGGATAAGGCTAGTCAACAGCAGGGAGCATCAGGGTGAGGTGAGTGGGTGTGGGCTGTAGCAGCATCATCAGGTGAACAGAAGCCGCTGCAGCTCAAGGGGTAGCTGCCGGCCACATGGATCAGAGTGTTTTTGAGAATTCTCAAAAACATCCTGCTCCATATGGACTAGGCACGCTGAGATGAGATGAACGCTGCTGTGCGGTCGCTGCTCAAGGTCAGTGGTGCCACCTCACTGCGCCCCGACGGCCACCACAGGCGGCTGAACGGCACAGTGGACTGCTGCCACTACTGCTGCTCGTGTTGCCCCCTCTCATCCCTCCCCGTTCCGTCCCTGTTCCCATCCCTCCTCTCCCATCCCGGGAGTACGGGGTGGTGTATCTAGACGTAGACTCAGCCACCTCACTGCCTGCTGTGAGTGTTACTGTGTGTTACGTCTTACTCACCAATCCCACGCGTGTGTCCCACCTCTCTCCTTCCTCCTCCCCCTGCCAGGAGTACGGAGTGGTGTATCTAGACGTTGACTCAGCCACCTCCCTGCGCCCGGACGGCCATCACAGGAGGATGGACGGCACAGTGGACTGCCGCCACTACTGCATGCCAGGCCCCCTCGACCACTGGGTCTCTCTGCTCTACAACCTGCTCCGCCTCATCGACTCCCACTCTGAGCAGCAACAGCAGAGCGGGCAGAGTGGGCAGCGAGGGCAGCAAGGGGTATCACCCGAGCCTGTGAGGCCCGGTCTCCTGCCTGTGCGTCCTGAGGGGGAGTCCGAGCCTGGTCGACCACTGGTTGCTGGGGGTGCTGGCGCTGCTGGTGCTGCTGGTGCTGATGCTGGGGATAGTGATAGTGCTGGTGCTGGTGCTGGTGCTGGTGCTGGTGGTGCTGGTGCTGGTGCTGGTGATGGTGATGGTGATGGCGCTGGTGCTGATGGCGCTGGTGCTGATGGCGCTGGTGCTGATGGCGCTGGTGCTGCTGGTGGTGGCGAAGGAGGAGACAGCAGTAGAGAGGGGGAGGAGAAGGGTGGGAAGGGCGAGGGAGGGGCAGAGGACGAGGGTGGGGCAGGGAGTGGGGACCGACAGGAGGCGGGGGAAAGTGGGGCTGCAGAAGCAACCGGGGGTGTGGTAGAGGGAGGAAAAGAGGATGTGGTGGCAGGCAGTGGGGAAGGGAGAGAAGCGGGCAGTGGGGAAGGGAGGGAAGCGGGCAGTGGGGAAGCGGGCAGTGGGGAAGCGGGCAGTGGGGAAGCGGGCAGTGGGGAAGCGGGGAGTGGGGAAGCGGGCAGTGGGGAAGCGGGGAAAGATGCAGGAGCAGAAGCCAAGGAGAGTGATGGGGCTGTTGGGCCTTCAGAGGCAGGTGGGCTCGATACTGGTGATGAGGGGGTCAGGGAGGAGACGGGGAGGAAGGAGGTACCGGAGCAAGGAGCAGCAGAGGAAGGGGCAGCAGAGAAGGGAGGGGCAGGGGGGGAGCCAGGAGCAGGTGAGCAGAGAGGAGTGGAGGAAGGCACAGGAGCAGGAGGCGAGGAAGGAGGGGCAGTAGGGGTTGCGGATGAAGGGTTGAAGGAGGGAGGGGAGGCTGGTAGTGTGAAGCGAACAGAGGGATCAGGAGAGGAAGCAGGGAAGGCAGGGCAAGTAGGAGAGGCAGGGCAAGCAGGAGAGGCAGGGCAAGCAGGAGAGGCAGGGCAAGCAGGAAAGGACACGGAACAAGTGGGAGGGGGAGTGGAGAACAAGGATGAAGGGAAGACTGGTGATGGTGCTGCTACTGCTGCTTCTGCCACTGGTGGAGCTGACAGTGGTGGTGCTGCTGCTGCTGGCAGCAGTGATAGCAGCAGTAGCGGTGCAGAGTCGTTCCCACCTCCAGATGATGCCACGCCTGCTGCTGACGCCTCGCCTGCGCCTCAAGTCAAAGCACCTGAACCCCTCAGTGAGTAGTTTGACTTGACCCAAGTGTGTGATACGGCCATGCTATGTGTGTTCCATTCCCTTGGGCTGCCACTTGAGAATGACATCCACTTGGCTCTTTCTCGTGTGTCCGGAATGTCATGTCTGTCAAGTGTTTCTTTCTGTCCTCTGCTCTTTTGTCCTCCCTCTTTTTCTCCATGGTAAAGTCCGTTTCCTCCTCAATCCACACTTTTCACAGCACCGTGCAGGAACAGCAGAGATGGGCACACATACTGCAGTGTTTCACTTTGGGCGCCTAACTCAAATCCATCTGTCTTAATCCATCCCTCTTCCCGCCTCTCACAGCACCCTGCAGAAACTACTCAGAGTGCATCCCAGGGACGACAGTGCGGGGCACAGAGGCGGTAATCAATTCAAGAAGCCCAAAGAACTCCCTCAATAACCACCCCCACCCCCCGCCCCCTCCTTTCATCCCTCCCCACGCCACTCCCCCCCTCACCTCACAGCGCCCTGCAGGAACTACTGAGTGCATCCCAGCGCCGACAGTGCGTGGCGCACAGGCAGTTGGAAACTAATAGAAGTCTTTCTTTCTCAATCCATCACCCCTTCCCCCCTCACAGCGCCCTGCAGGAACTACTCGGAATGCATCCCAGGGACGGCAGTGCGGGGCGCACAGGCAGTGGAGCAGACCAACCGTGAGATGGCGTGTCTGGCGAAGGAGGGCCGTTGGATCAAGTTCAACACGCCCCGCTGGCAGCCCTGGAGCAAGGACCCCAACCGCAACCCCCTGGCGCCCCACTATGGCACCTGTGACATTCTGCACCGCAGAAAGTAAGTGCTGCCTCGTATCACTTTGTGAATGTTATCTCAAAAGTGATGCATGCAAGCTCCCCAACTGCAACCCGCTCACGCCTCACTACGGCACATGTGACATTCTGCACCGCAAGAAGTAAGCTCTTTACTTGAGCTGTATAAGCTGCCCTGTGACAGACATTCTACACGGCAAAACGTACGTCTCATGTCCTCTTTTCTCGGCGTGTCTCATTGCACCTCCTGTGGCCAACAGCTTATGTTTTGTTTCTCTACTCCCTCGCCTCCCCTCCCCACTGAACCCTCACAGCAAGGGCGTGTTCGGCAAGGCAGCGGAGGACATCCGGGTGTCGGGCACGGGCGACTGGAACGTGCGTCCGGAGCTGAAGCACACGTGGAAGGCCAGCCGATTCTGCCCGCCGCTCAACGGGTACAACCGCGACAAGTTCTGCCGGGCCATGGGGCAGCGCAACGTGGTGTTTGTGGGGGATCAGTCGCAGCTGGCGCTGCACGATGTGTTTATCAACCACGTGCTCACCATGAAGACTGCCAAGGATATCGGCACTGCTGCTGATGCCTGGTGAGTCGTTGGGGTGATGTGGTCTCTGCAGGTAGCAGGTAGCTGGTAGCAGGTAGCATCGCTACTGCTTGGGGTAGCATTGTTTATTGATCACGTGCTCACCATGAAGTCCGCCAAGGATATCGGCACCAGTGCATGATCGCTGCAGGTAGCAGGTAGCATTGCTGCTGTTTGGGGCACCGCAACGCGGTGTTCGTGGGCGACTAGTCACAGCTTGCTCTCCACAGTGTGTCCATGAACCACGTGCTCATCATGAAGACTGCCAAGGATATCGGCACGGCCGCTGATGCATGGTGAGTGGTTGAGATGATGCAGACACTGCAGGTAGCAGGTAGCTTTGCTGGTGAGTGGGGCAGAGGAACGCGGTGTTTGTGGGCGACCATTCACAGCTTGCTCTCCATAATGTGTTTATTATCCACGTGCTCACCATGAAGACTACGAAAGATATTGGCACGGCTGGTGGTGCCTGTTGGGTGAGACGTCCGGAGGTGTGATGCTTCGTGTTGGTGAACTGCCGTATAGCTCGCTCCATGGGTAGGTGTGTTTGCGGGTTTAGCTCGACCCGCCACCAGCAGAAACCTGCTCTCACAGCCCATGCCCAGTCGCCAGGGAGCCTCAACACCCCTGTTCTCTCTCTCTTTCTGCATTCCCAGGGAGGAGAACGAGATTCCCTTGTGCCGCCGCAAGCCGCACGTGGTGTGCTTGGACCATGTGCCAGGGGGATTCACCTTCCGAGTGGTGCACAACAACCTGCTCTCTCCCGACTAAATTTCCTTGGAGCTGCACCAAACACCCTTTGTTTTCTCCCTTTTCGCATTCGCAGGGAGGAGAATGAAATTCCCTTGTGCCACCGCAAACCGCACGTGGTGTGTTCGGACCATGTGCCCGGGGGATTCACCTTCCGAGTGGTGCACAACAACCTGCTCTCGCCTGACTCTGCCGGGGGCGGCAAGTTCAACCAGCGCTGGCTGCGCCACCTCACCGAGTGGAACGCCTCCATTGTCGTCCTCAACAAGGGCTTCGAAAAAAGACCAAGTAGGTCCTCTTTTTTTTTTTCCCCTACGTTGTTACAATAGGTGCCGTAAGTCCTCCCTTAAGGGCTTCGAAATCATTTCAATGGGGTTTAACTTGACGAGGTCTGGAGCTTTCCACCCTTTTGCTAAGTCATGGTGCAGTGCTTTCTTGTTGCCGTGTTTTCTTACTGCTCACACACTCCGTCTCACCACGTTTGTGCATGTTTTACCTCTCCTTCCGTCTTGTCGCCCACCTGCCAAGTACCTGTACACACTGCGTGCATCGCTGGCGAAGCTGCAGGAGGTGGCGCCAGACGTGCTGCTGGTGTAGCGCAACACGTGCTGCTCGTGTGCTGCTGCCATGCGCACCGTGTTCTCACTCTCCATTCACTTCGTCTCACCATATTCGTTTCGGCCTTTGGGTGTGTGCTGTTTCCTCCTCTTAATTTTCTCATCTCCCAGCTGCCAAGTACCTGTCAACGCTACGTGCATCGCTGGCGAAGCTGCGGGAGGTGGCGCCAGACGTCTTGTTTGTGTGGCGCAACACGTGGCGCGGCCACCCGGACTGCGGCAATGCCACAGAGCCACTCAAGGCCGTGCCGCACAATGAGACCAACGACAGCCAGTGGAGCTACGTGGTGGAACAGAACGAAGGGGCCAAGGCTATTGTGAAGGTGAGTGTGGGAGCTAAGGTGGGGATGTTCTAGGTGACTTTTGAGTGGACCTCGAAAGTCAAGTAAAAAGCCACCCCGACGGCAACGCCACTGAGCCGCTCAAGGCCGTGCCACACAATGAAACCAACGAGAGCCAGTGGAGCTACGTGGTGGAACAGAGCGAAGGGGGCCAAGGCCATTGTGAAGGTGCGTGAAAGCTATGCTGGAGAGCTTGTGCCTATGTGAGCTACATGGCAGTCTAGTGTTCTCCTTGCTTCATGACCTGCTTTGGGTTTGTAATGTGTTCTGTGTTTTGTTCTTGACAGGAATTTGGAGGCCTTTACATTGATCTTGATTGGTCACTCTCGATGCGCCCCGACGGACACATCAAGAAGCTTGACGGCTCCATGGATTGCTACTATTACTGCTTGCCCGGCCCACTCGACCACTTCATGCGGCTCTTCTATAACATGCTTCTTTTGCTTGACTCTAAAGCAGCCTCTACTGCTGGGCCTCAACAAACATAAGATAACACTATAATATGGATATTGCTTGCTATAGACATACCGTAAGATTCTGGGCAGTAGTGTACTCTTTTAGAATCAAAATCCGACGTGGCGTAGCGCGGATCCGATGCTTACGTGTCGATGACGAGGAGCGGATCTTTGCTTCAACCACCTCCTTGTCTCCTTCGTTCGATCACTGCTGGCGCCAAGCCTTAGGGGAGTGTGTCGTGCCAGCAATCCCCACAGCAGAATGAACAGTTTTTCGAACGTTGCCCCGAACGGAGTTGGGAAAGGGGATATATTTTCAGTAGTGTACTTGGCTGACTCATTAGATGGAATAATCGCGCCGGTTTTGCTAAATATGCGCAGAAATATTGAATTTCTGTTAGCGCTGCCCCCTCTCTCGTCGCGTAGCGATGACGTTCTATATGGTCCCCCTCCATCCATCCCGCAGCTCGCCCCATTCCCCCAGCTGACCCCATCCAAACCCCGCTCCCAGAGTTACCCCTGCGGAACTGTACGTTCTCCTTGGCCGTTCCCCCCCTTTTTCCACATCTACCTTTCCCGCTCGCCCCACTCAATCTCCCGCCAATTGAATGGATCTCCTCACCCCTCCACTCCCCGCCCTTAGTGCTCTCCCCCGCTACCTCCGCCCCTTTTGCACTCCCGAATCCCGATCTTCTCCGTTCTTCACGTCATGCAAGGCGCAAGCGCAATCCCAATTTCCTCCCCGACTGTCCCCTCCATCCCCCATTCCCCCTCCCTCCCCTCCCCTCCAACTCAACACTAGGAGAGAGGCAAGCGGCGGCTGTCCCATCCCATGCATCCTCATTTTTCGCGCTCATTTCAGATCTCGTCGTGTGGGGAAAGGGCAGAGGAGAGGGATCGACGAGGCTCAGGGGCGGGGTCTAGACTAAATTTCGTTAGTAAGCTTATCGTGTGTATAGGAAGCGAAGACTCACAGCGGTCGCAACACACAGCGGTATGGCGGCCCTCGTGGTTCTGCAGGTGCAGGCGCAGTTATGCCTGCCCGGCGCGCCGAGCAGCCGCGCAATCTCCGCGGCGAGACATGCCGCGCAGAGCCGCGAGAGCGTCAGGAGTCGCCGCGTGAGCCTCGCGCCCTGCCCCAGCGCGCGCAGCCGCATTGGCGCAAGCGGGCGCATGGGCGCGGGGAGCAGCGCGCTGCACAGCGATGAGCGCTGGCGCAAACTCCTTTCCGCCACCGCGAAGCCGAAATGGGGACATAGTAAGTTGCTAGTTCGACGAAATGGGGACATACTAAGTTGCTCGATCGACAAAATGGGGACATACTAAGTTGCTAGTTCGACGAAATGGGGACACATAAGTTACCAGCTTGTCGAAATGACGTAATACGTGGGTGGTAGCAAGTTGTATCGCAAGTACGTAAGCAGACGAAAACAGAATCGGACGCTAACGGAAGCAGACATTAACGGCAGCAGACTTATTCCGGGACGCGTCAATGCGGCCAAATACGTAATGGCAGAATGGCGGACCGAGCTGTAGTGGGAGCTTAGTGCACTGTGCACGGACGAGGCAGGCACTTCTGAGTAAACTCAATAATGGGGGACCGAGCCGTAGTGGGATCGTAGTGGACTTTACACGAACGAGGCAGGCATTTTCGGGTTAACTCAAGGCGTCGTTCGCTCAAGTGTCGCACAGGCTTCGTTCGCTCATGTGTCGCGCATTCGTCGTTCCCGCATGTGTCGCGCATGCGTCGTTCGCTCATGTGTCGCACAGGCGTCGTTCGCTCATGTGTCGCGCATGCGTCGTTCGCTCATGCTTCGCGCAGGCGTCTTTCGCCCAGGTGTCTCTGCGTCTGTTTTCTTCGCGTCCATCTCCGCGTTCATTATTTGCGTCCTTTCCCCCCCCCCCACCCCCTTCCCCCTTTCCCCCCCTCCTCCTCTCTCCCCTTTCATCCGCGCCAGCGTTCAAGCGCACCACGCCCAGATGGACGGCTGCAGTCGTGCCCTCCACCAAGCCCTCCAAACGGTGCGAGTCATGCCGTATTATCTCCTGTCGCACCGTGTCGTATTCCTATCCCCCCCCCCCCTCCCTTCCTTCCCCCCCCTCTTTTCCGAAACCTTTTTTTTTGGTCACTTTTCTTCCAGATCTCAACCTTTCGCCCTGCTCTCAACCCAGCCCGCATTTATTATTCTCTCTTTTATTTCTCAAGATCAAATAAATAACGGCCTGCTTCTGCTGCAGAGGCCATGCACATTTCTCGTTCTCCATCCGATACTCACCAGCAATGCTCACCTCCCTCCCTTCCTTCCTCCCTCCCTACCTTCCTCCCTCCCTCCCTTCCTTCCTCCCTCCCCCCTTCCCTCCCTCCTTCCCCCCGTCCCTCCCTCTGCCTCCTTCCCCCTCCCTCCTTCCCTCTCCCTCCCTCCCTTTCGTGCCTCTATCAGCCAATCGGAGCAGAACCACAGCTCCCACTCTCATCAACCTCACAATGCGCAAAACACCAACACAACCACCAGCACCAACAGCACCAACAGCAGCAGCAGCAGCAGCAGCAGCAGCAAGAGCCGGGCAATCGCCACAGTGCCGCGCGCACCTCCCGCGCCCATCCCCCGCGAGCCGGTCACTCGCCGCCTCTTCGCGGGCTTCTCCAGAATCGGGAGGAAACGCCCCCTGGTGCGCGCACTGGGAAGGGGAAAGGGGGAGGCTGGGGGGAATGTTGGGGGTTGGGCGGAAGCGGGGGAATGTTGGGGGGGAGTGTTACTCAAAACTCTTCGCGGGCTTTTCCAGAATCGGGAGGAAACGCCCCCTGGTGCGCGCACTGGGAAGGGAAAGGGGGAGGCTGGGGGAGAGAGGTGGAGGGGGGGCTGAAGGGAGTGTCAAGGGGTGGGGGAATGTCGGGGAATCTTGGGGGTGTGGGGGCGTGTCGGAGGTTGGAGAATGGTGGGAAGCGGTGGGGCCTGGTATTGATGGATTGTGGGGAGTTGCTGTGTGCCAGGGACAAATGAGGGAGTGAGTTCCTTCCCTGTCTGGCATCTCTTTTCCCAGCGACCCCTTTCCCTTTCTACTCTTCATCCGGCCCGCCCCCTTTCCTTCTCATCTAATCTGGCCTCTTGGTGACTTCTGAGTCGACTCAACAAGTCATCTCTTTCCCAGCGACCCCTTTCCCTTTCTACTCTTCATCCGCCCCGTCCCCTCCCCTTCTCATCTAATCTGGCCTCCTCCTTTCCCTCCTTTCTTCCTTCCCCCGTCGCGCCCTCCGACCCGCCCTCCGCACGAGCAGTGGAAGCAGGCGGGCATGTGGGTCGCAGGAGCGGCCGCAGCAGCCGTGGGCGTGCAAGTCAGCGCGCAAGTGCTTGAGGTGAGTGCCTCACTGTACCTGCGTTGACTCATCGACTCACTCGTTGACTCGTTGACTTGTTGACTTGTTGACTGGTCAACTTGGCCAGCAACACTTACTTTACACAGCTCGTTCTTTAAATTCTCATCCCTCTATCCCTCATCTCAACGCCATGTCTCCTCCCCATCCCTTCCCGGCTCCCCAGGCGCTCGACAAGGTACCCTGTCTGGCGGACCTGGAGGTGCTGGTCTGGTGGGCACGGACGCGGCGCTCAACTCCCCCATCGCCCCTTGCCCCTTCCCCGTGTCCCCCTTTTCCCCCGTTCCCGCACATTCTCCCCCCCGGCCCCCTAGGCGCTGGACAAGGTACCATTCCTGGCGGACCTCGAGGTGCGGGTGGGCATGGGCGCGGCGCTCAACTTCCCCGTCGCCGCTTCCTCCTCCTACCCACTTACCTGTGTTCGTCCCTTCCCCCCACCGCCCCCTCCCCTCATCCCCCCAGGCGCTCGACAAGGTACCGTTCCTGGCGGATCTCGAGGTGCGGGTGGGCACGGGCGCGGCGCTCAACTTCCCCATCATCCCTTCCCCCACTCACCGCCCTTTCTCTTCCCCCTTTTCTCCCCCCTCTTCCCCCCCCCCCGTATGTCCCAGGCGCTCGACAAGGTCCCCTTCCTAGCGGACCTGGAGGTGCTGGTGGGCACGGGCGTCGCGCTCAACTTCCCCATCGCCCCTTGTCCCCCTTTCCCCCCTTGTCCCCCTTTCCCCCCTTGTCCCCCTTCCCCCCGTTCTCCCCAGGCACTTGACAAGGTCCCCTTCCTAGCGGACCTGGAGGTGCTGGTGGGTACGGGCGTGGCGCTCAACTTCCTCTCCTCCTACGTCCGCGGAGGGCCGGGTGGGTGGCGCGGGCGCGGAGTGGGCACGGGGGTGGGCGGGGTGGGCACGGGGGTGGGCACGGGGGTGGGCGGGGTGGGCACGGGGGTGGGCGGGGTGGGCACGGGGGTGGGCGGGGTGGGCACGGGGGTGGGCGGGGTGGGCACGGGGGTGGGCGGGGTGGGCACGGGGGTGGGCGGGGTGGGCACGGGGGTGGGCACGGGGGTGGGCACGGGGGTGGGCGGGGTGGGCACGGGGGTGGGCACGGGGGTGGGCACGGGGGTGGGCACGGGGGTGGGCACGGGGGTGGGCGGGGTGGGCACGGGGGTGGGCGGGGTGGGCACGGGGGTGGGCACGGGGGTGGGCACGGGGGTGGGCGGGGTGGGCACGGGGGTGGGCACGGGGGTGGGCACGGGGGTGGGCGGGGTGGGCACGGGGGTGGGCGGGGTGGGCACGGGGGTGGGCACGGGGGTGGGCACGGGGGTGGGCACGGGGGTGGGCACGGGGGTGGGCACGGGGGTGGGCACGGGGGTGGGCACGGGGGTGGGCGGGGTGGGCACGGGGGTGGGCGGGGTGGGCACGGGGGTGGGTACTGGGCAGGTTGGGCGACGAATCTGATGACTTTGTTTCAGCGTTTCAACTCGCCCACATCTCTCCCCGCTCCCTTGCGTGTCCCTCCTCTCTCCCCCCTCTTCTACCTCTCCCCCTTGCTTGCGCATCCTCTCTCTCTCTCCACCCCAGCACGAGCGCGGGTGCAGGCGAGCATAGACAGCATAGTGGACAGCATCAGGGGATTTGACTCGCCCACCGACTCTGACCTTCAACCCCCTCTCTCCTCTTTCCCCTTCATGTGTCCCTCCTCTCACGCCACCCCCTCCAGCGCGAGCGCGGGTGCAGGCGAGCATAGACAGCATAGTGGACGCCATTAAAGGCTTCGACTCGCCCACCGACTCGGACCTTCAGCTGCAGCTGCAACAGCTTGTTGCCGACACCACCGTCGTCGCTACTCCCTCTCTCGCCTCCGCCTCCACCTCCTCCGCCTCCATCTCCCCTTCCTCTTTCTCCTCCGCGTCATCCTCCTCCTCCTCCTCGCCCTCCTCGCCCTCCTTCGCTGCTCGAATTGCCGGTACGGGGCTGTTCAAGGCAAGGGGAGGGCAGAGCGCCAAGGAAGTGGGCAGGCAGGCGAGGCCAGCCGAGTTGACCTTCGGAGGGATTAGGGAGGAGGGAGAGAGAGCAGAGGAAGGAGAAGAGGTGGTGCTGGTGAAGAAACAGTCGCTGATCAGCCGGTTGGTGGATTTTGTCCGGGGCAAGGAGGTCAAGACAAAACGTGCCACCCTCGCGCTGCAGGCCGAGGCCGCCCGGTCGCAGGCGCTGCAGTCCCGGGCGGCGGATCTGAACCAGTCGCTGCAGGCCAGCAAGCGGGCGGCGCAGGCTGCCGCCCAGAAGCTGGAGGAGCTGCGGGCGGCGAACGGGCGGCTGCAGGCGGAGCGGAGCGAGTCCCGGGCGGCAATGGGCGGACTACAGCAGGAAGTGGCGTCGCTGTCTGCCGCCCTGGGGAGCCTCACAGCTGACACAGACGCTCTGAAGCAGTCCAAGGAGAAGGTGAGAGGAGCGCAGAGGCAATTACAGAATTCCCTATATTTTCTCTTTGATAAAAATAAGAGAGTCTTCAAATGAGAACCCTCTCCCCATTCCCCTCTTCGGTTGCCCTCTCCCCTCTCCCCATTCCCCGCTCTCCACTCGCCCCATTCCATACCCCCCCCCTCATTCCCACTCTCTGTTCCCTCTTTCTCCCCACCCCCAGCTCGCCTCCAAAGTGCAGTCAGCAATCACCGAGAACCAATCGCTGGCAGCCAGCCTGGCATCCGCGAAATCCAGGCAGCAGCAGCAGGTGGCGGCGGCAGAGGCGATGCGCGCCCAGCTGAGAGCCGACGAGGCCACGCTGGGGAAGCCTTGATCCGCCTCAATGACCATCCTTGCTCCCTTTCCCTGTTCCCCGCTGCATGTCCCCCAATCCCCAGCTGGCGTCCAAGGTGCAGGCAGCACTCACTGACAACCAGTCGCTGCAGGCCAGCCTGGCATTCCCTGTTCGCGGCAACAGCAGCTCACTCCTCATTCCCTGTTCTCCCTTCCTCCCTGTGCCTTCCCAACACCCCACAAACCCCCCCACCCACCCCCAGTTGGCGTCCAAGGTGCAGGCAGCACTCACGGACAACCAGTCTCTGCAGGCCAGCCTGGCATCGGCGAAATCCCGGCAGCAGCAGCAGGTGGCGGCGGCAGAGGCGATGCGCGCCCAGCTGAGAGCCGCCGAGGCCACGCTGGGTGAAAGGGAGGAGGTGCTCCGAAGGGCGCAGGCGGAGAGCGCGCAGGAGAAGACGACGTACGCCGCCCGGCTTGAGGGCGTGAAGGTGGGTGTGAATGCATGATCAACTGTAGGCTATGCTCGTGTGTGCATGCATGCATGGCACGTCACGTCAAAGCACCCACCCACCCATGCACATCTTTTCTTACTCCCTCACGTCCCTCTTCCCTTCTTCCTCACCCACCCACCCACCCACCCACCCATGCACATCTTTTCTTACTCCCTCACGTCCCTCTTTCCTTCTTCCCACTTCTTCCCTATTTCTCTACGTGCTTCTTCTCTCTCTCTCCCTCCCTTATCTCGCTTGTTCTGCTTTTTGAGTCGACTCAAAAGTCTTCCCTATTTCTCTACGTGCTTCCTCTCTCTCTCCCTTACCTCACTCGTTCTGCTTCGCTCCATGCAGAAGGAGAGGGACGACGCACAGGCAGCGGTGGTGGTGGTGGAGGGGCGGCTGGCAGCACTGGAAGCGACCTTAAGGCCTCTCCCCCTTTTTTTCAGTTTCCTCTCTCCTTCCATCCTTGCCCCTTGTGCAGTAGGAGAGGGACGAGGCACAGGCAGCGGTGGTGGTGGTGGAGGCGCGGCTGGCAGCACTGGAAGCAAAGCTGCAGCAAGCAGCACAGACCCTCCCTGCCTGACCCCTACCCTCTTCCCTCCCGTCACTCCTCATTTCCCTTGGTCCCGTGCAGAGGGAGAGGGACGAGGCACAGGCAGCGGTGGTGGTGGTGGAGGCGCGGCTGGCAGCACTGGAAGCAAAGCTGCAGCAAGCAGCACAGACCCGCACGGAGATCTTCAAGAACAACGCCGAGCTCAAAGCCAGGCTGGAGTCCGTCTTGCAGCAAAACCGCGACCTTGCCACCCAGGCCGCCCGGATGGAGGAGAGCGGGCGGCAGGTTTCGGCGGTATTCGAGCAGCGGGAGGGTGCGCTGGTGCAGCAGATCCGGAACCGGGAGGCTGAGTTGGCGGCGCAGAAGAAACGGGCGGCTGCTGAGCTGGCGGGGGTGGAATCCAGGCTGGAAGGGGAGCTGAGGAAGGCTGAGGAGGAGAAGCAGAAATACATGCAGGCTTGTGATTGGCTGGAGAAGCAGCTTGCTTCTCTCAAGGCGGAGAATGAGACGACGATTGCCGACCTTCGCTCGTCTCTGGCTTTTGCCGAGCAACGGGCCAAGGAGGAGGGTGCCAAGGTGGTTCAGCTGCGCGCTGAGCTGGACAAGCAGACGAAAGATGCTGACCGGCACAAGGCGGCGCTGAAAAAGAAGGTGGCTGAGCTGGAGGGCAAGCTGGGATCCAGCCAATCACAGCTCTCCATTGCCGAGAAGGCTCTTGCCACTGCCACGGCTGCAGCCAATCGTGTGAAGACAGCTGGACTGGCGGGACTGGTGGTGCCGGCTGTAGCGCCTAGTAAGGGGGCAGCTGTAGCAGGAGCAGGAGCAATGGCAGGCAAAGCTGTGACAGAAAAGGAGCAAGGGAGGAAGAGTGGGAAGGCTGTAGTGGTGAGCAAGAAGCAGCAGGAGGAGAAGGAGAGGGAGCAGGAGAGGGCGGGGGGGATGAGGGAGGGTGACCTAAAGGTGTATGCACGGGCCATCTTCCCTGCATATGTGGATGTGAGGGGACCGGCTTTGGAACAGACCCGAGGAGTCAACGCTCTCGTGCTGGTATGCCCTCTCATTACGCCCTCCGCTCTCCGCTCTCAATTGTTCCCTTTCATCTCCCTGTTCTCACCTTTTTCCTTCTTGTCTCCTCATGCTGCTTCCCATTCTGCTCCCTATTCTCGCCATAGGACATGGTGAGCAAGGGAGCGGAGGAGCAGTGGGCGAGGAAGCATGTGACAGAGTCTCTGCTCAAGCCCGCCCTGGCTGCTGCTGATGCTGCCGCTGCTGCGAAGACTAGCAGTGGTGCTGGCAGTGACAAGGCAGGCAAGAAGGTAAGTGAGAACTCTGCTTGCTCCCTCTCTCTCTCTCCCACTAGGACACACAAAAATGACGAAGCACCGATGACGAAAGCACACGCCAAAGTCGCCTCGCTGCTGCAAGGACAAGCACTGCTGCTGGCGCTGACTAGGCAAGAACGCAGGTGGCTACTGGCACTGCTTACCCCACCCTCCTCCTCCCCATCTCGCTTTGCTATCACCCGTACAGCGCGTGAGCAAGGAGGCGTTGCAGTCGTATGCGAGGGCCATCCAGCACGCCTATATCGACGATTCCATTCCAGTCAAGGAGCAGCAGGCAGGCATGCAGCTGCTCGTGCAGGTGAGCGCTGCAAAAGGGGATATGGGATGTGACGGGGGGGTGGGGAGAATAGTAGCGGGGTCCCTCCAGTGACGGAGCAGCAGGCAGGCATGCAGCTGCTCGTGCAGGTGAGCGCTGCACAGGGGGGCATGGTAGACAATGGGGTGATGGGGAGAAGTGTAGCAGGGTCCTTTCCTGTACAGCTACATCGACGATTCCATCCCGGCGAAGGAGCAGCAGGCGGGCATGCAGCTGCTTGTGCAGGTGAGCAGTGGGAGGGGGTGGGGTGGGGGGTGGAGTGCAGGCAGTGGTGGGGAGGAGGGGCTTTCAGCAAGCATTCATCCCGGCCAAGGAGCAGCAGGCGGGCATGCAGCCGCTCGTGCAGGTGAGCATAGGGTGGGGCCGGTGGGCCTGGTGCATGGATGATCTCTAGAGTCTTGTGTACATTCCTTGTCAGGTGGGAAGCAGGGTATAAGGTATGTGGAGAGTTGCTGAGGGGGCTTGTAGCAGACGTGATTCTCTCTTGTTGGGCTCGGTGCGGTGTGGTACGGCATTGTGCGTTGCATTGTGTTGTGATTGGTGCATATCCTCTTCCCTTGCTTGCTGAATGTGTGTGTGGGTGGCACATACACACACACACACACACACGCACACCCCCCCCCCCCCCCCCACACACACACACACACACACACATCCCTTCCCCACACACACTCACGCATGCATTCACAGGAGTTGGTGGCGATGGGAGGAGAGGAGGAGTGGGCTCGCAGCTTCGTGCATGACTCCATGGCCGCCACACCTGCCAGCCCGCGCAAGTGAAGGAAGGTCCAGGCAGATGCACCTCATAAAGGGAATGCTATGCACTTCAAAGGAGGGTGCAGTTCAAACAAAGGTGCTCCTGCAAGGGGGTTGCAGCCGTAAGTGATTCCCTTCTGAAATCCACGGCCACCTTAAATTATGGATCCAGTTTGAATCATCGGCTCCTGACACGCCTTAGAGGGGGACACATTTTCGAGTGAACGACTCTTGAGGCGTCTCAGGGCATAGCAGGACATGGCAGGAAATGGCATGGAATGGCAGGGCATGACAGAGCGTGTCATGCCATGATGCATTGCGTGTGCGAACACTTGCTAGCTTCATCTGTGAGGTTTGATAGGTGGGTCTGCTGTGGGACACTCTCCTGGATGTGTTTGGCTGAGATACTGTCCTCACTGCATGCTTTTGTAACTTATGTTACCGTATGTATGTGTGGCTTGTTTGCGGAAGTAAGAACACCAAGGCCAGAAAGAGCTCGCACACTTCACCATCTAAAGCAAGCCACAAAGAGCTTGCACAGTTAACAATCTAGAGGAAATAATAACGAAAAGAGTCACATTGGTGGTGGGAGCTTTCCGGCCTAGATCCACTAGCAACGAGACACCTTGCAATCCGCCCTTGGTGAGACACCTTGCAACGATCCACAATCTGTAGGAACAGACTTGTCTTATCGAATTCTCCAGGCCAGAGAATTTCCTAGATGGACAAGCAAGGTGCCATGCGTGGTGTGGTGGTGGGTGTGATGCGGTGTGGTGGGTGTGATGCGGTGTGGTGGTGGGTGTGATGCGGTGTGGTGGGTGGGATGCGGTGTGGTGGGTGTGATGCGGTGTGGTGGGTGGGATGCGGTGTGGTGGTGGGTGTGATGCGGTGTGGTGGGTGTGATGCGGTGTGGTGGTGGGTGTGATGCGGTGTGGTGGGTGTGATGCGGTGTGGTGGTGGGTGTGATGCGGTGTGGTGGGTGGGATGCGGTGTGGTGGGTGTGATGCGGTGTGGTGGGTGGGATGCGGTGTGGTGGTGGGTGTGATGCGGTGTGGTGGGTGTGATGCGGTGTGGTGGTGGGTGTGATGCGGTGTGGTGGGTGTGATGCGGTGTGGTGGGTGTGATGCGGTGTGGTGGGTGGGATGCGGTGTGGTGGTGGGTGTGATGCGGTGTGGTGGGTGTGATGCGGTGTGGTGGTGGGTGTGATGCGGTGTGGTGGGTGTGATGCGGTGTGGTGGTGGGTGTGATGCGGTGTGGTGGGTGGGATGCGGTGTGGTGGGTGTGATGCGGTGTGGTGGGTGTGATGCGGTGTGGTGGGTGTGATGCGGTGTGGTGGTGGGTGTGATGCGGTGTGGTGGGTGTGATGCGGTGTGGTGGTGGGTGTGATGCGGTGTGGTGGGTGTGATGCGGTGTGGTGGTGGGTGTGATGCGGTGTGGTGGGTGTGATGCGGTGTGGTGGTGGGTGTGATGCGGTGTGGTGGGTGTGATGCGGTGTGGTGGTGGGTGTGATGCGGTGTGGTGGGTGTGATGCGGTGTGGTGGTGGGTGTGATGCGGTGTGGTGGGTGGGATGCGGTGTGGTGGGTGTGATGCGGTGTGGTGGGTGGGATGCGGTGTGGTGGTGGGTGTGATGCGGTGTGATGGGTGTGATGCGGTGTGGTGGTGGGTGTGATGCGGTGTGGGGGGTGTGATGCGGTGTGGTGGGTGTGATGCGGTGTGGTGGGTGTGATGCGGTGTGGTGGTGGGTGTGATGCGGTGTGGTGGGTGTGATGCGGTGTGATGGTGGGTGTGATGCGGTGTGGTGGGGCTTTCATTCAAATCTGTCCTATGCAGACAAAAACTCCCCCCAGCACATCACCTTTCCTCTTCAACATGCCCCTCATGACTCATGGGTCATGGCTAAATCATGACTCATCGATCCAGTCCAGTGTCGCATCGCTGCGCCGCACGTAACCCCACCTCACTGCACCGCACCTCACTCCCTCTTTTCCACCAGAAACAGCCCCCAGGCCTGGTTCCCATCCCTCACTCGCTTCATCTTGGCCGTCCATCCTGCTAGCAGCTGGTCATCCTGATGGTCGAATTGTTGGCAGTGTGAAGGGTGTGGGAATGGGAACGGGTCAAGAGACAAACACGAGGAAGTTTTCAAGAGCAAGACCATTTTCAAGAGCAAGACTGTTTTCAAGAGCAAGACCGTTTTCAAGAGCAAGACCGTTTTCAATAGCAAGACCGTTTTCAAGAGCAAGACCGTTTTCAAGAGCAAGACCGTTTTCAAGAGCAAGACCGTTTTCAAGAGCAAGACCGTTTTCAAGAGCAAGACCGTTTTCAAGAGCAAGACCGTTTTCAAGAGCAAGACCGTTTTCAAGAGCAAGACCGTTTTCAAGAGCAAGACCGTTTTCAAGAGCAAGACCGTTTTCAAGAGCAAGACCGTTTTCAAGAGCAAGACCGTTTTCAAGAGCAAGACCGTTTTCAAGAGCAAGACCGTGTACGAGCAGGTGATGGTGCAAATTCTGCCTTGTACAAGCAAATTCTGGAAAGCATCAGCAAATTCTGGAAAGCATCAGCTTGCGGTGTTTCAGTTGGCAAGACCATACCTACACCGATGTGTACAAACGAAACTGGGAAGATGAGTGGAAGGGGATGAAACTTACCGAGGCTGATGGCTGTGTGCTGCCAGTGTCAGAGAGCAAGCGAGCCTTCTCCTCCTCCAGAATACCAAGGAACTGAGCAGAGGTGTTACGAGGGAAGAGGGGAGCGGGTATGGGAAGGGAAAAGGGTGGAATGGAGAAAGATGGCCAGGTGCTGCTGGTGTCAGAGAGTGATCGATTCTTTTCCACCTTCAGAATACCAAGGAACTGAGCAGGGGTGGGCGCTAGGGGTAAATGGGCGCAACTGAGGGGAGAACGAGCAGCGAAGATTGAAGGGAGGGGGGGAGGGGCATGGGAGAGGTGATGTGATGATTGACGGGCATGCATTCATCACTACATGTGATGGTACGGTACGGTAATTGTACAGTTGAAAGCAGATGATGGATCGTAGAGAATGAAAGCAGCAGATGAAAGCGGGTACCGCGTATGTGCATCAGGCAGCAGATGAATCAAGCAGCAGATGATTTAAGCAGCAGATGAAAGCGGGTACCGCGTATCTGCATCAAGCAGCAGATGAATCAAGCAGCAGATGAAAGCGGGTACCGCGTATGTGCATGAAGCAGCATGGCAGACAAGACCACTGAGGGCTCGGCCTGTTGGGACTGACTCAGCCTAGCAGCACATCTCACCTCCGCACATCTCACCTCCGCACATCTCACCTCCGCACATCTCACCTCCGCACATCTCACCTCCGCACATCTCACCTCCGCACATCTCACCTCTGCACATCTCACCTCCGCACATCTCACCTCCGCACATCTCACCTCCGCACATCTCACCTCCGCACATCTCACCTCCGCACATCTCACCTGCGCACATCTCACCTCCGCACATCTCACCTGCGCACATCTCACCTGCGCACATCTCACCTCCGCACATCTCACCTGCGCACATCTCACCTGCGCCCATCTCACCTGCGCACATCTCACCTCCGCACATCTCACCTGCGCACATCTCACCTCCGCACATCTCACCTCCGCACATCTCACCTGCGCACATCTCACCTCCGCACATCTCACCTGCGCACATCTCACCTGCGCACATCTCACCTCCGCACATCTCACCTGCGCACATCTCACCTGCGCCCATCTCACCTGCGCACATCTCACCTCCGCACATCTCACCTCCGCACATCTCACCTCCGCACATCTCACCTCCGCACATCTCACCTCCGCACATCTCACCTCCGCACATCTCACCTCCGCACATCTCACCTCCGCACATCTCACCTCCGCACATCTCACCTCCGCACATCTCACCTCCGCACATCTCACCTCCGCACATCTCACCTGCGCACATCTCACCTCCGCACATCTCACCTGCGCACATCTCACCTGCGCACATCTCACCTCCGCACATCTCACCTGCGCACATCTCACCTGCGCCCATCTCACCTGCGCACATCTCACCTCCGCACATCTCACCTGCGCACATCTCACCTCCGCACATCTCACCTCCGCACATCTCACCTGCGCACATCTCACCTCCGCACATCTCACCTGCGCACATCTCACCTGCGCACATCTCACCTCCGCACATCTCACCTGCGCACATCTCACCTGCGCCCATCTCACCTGCGCACATCTCACCTCCGCACATCTCACCTGCGCACATCTCACCTCCGCACATCTCACCTCCGCACATCTCACCTCCGCACATCTCACCTGCGCACATCTCACCTCCGCACACCTCACCTCCGCACATCTCACCTCCGCACATCTCACCTCCGCACATCTCACCTGCGCCCATCTCACCTGCGCCCATCTCACCTGCGCCCATCTCACCTGCGCCCATCTCACCTGCGCCCATCTCACCTGCGCCCATCTCACCTACTGGCACCTCACCTGCTGTGATCGATTTTCAGCCCTGAGCACGTGGAAACCAGCTGCCTGGAGCATCTGCCAGGTGAAGGGCGGAAAAGTGTGCACATTTGAACAGGGCAGAGAGGGCGGATGAGTGTGCAGAAGTGGAGAATGCGACATGCTCAACTCAAAGCACACCCATTCCAGAATCCACATCATTCTGAACACTCTCACACAGTTCCAAAGGACCCGATGCATTTGCATGCTCGCCTGCAGAATGGAAGAGCAGGGCAGAGGGTTTTGGGTACAGGAGAATCGTTGCTTTTGGGTACAGGAGAATCGTTGCTGCAGGGTTCCAAGTCTGCTTTTGAGTCGACTCAAGGTCTCGTATGTGTGCGCAGCAGGTGGGGCGCTCAATCCCTGCTTTTGATTTGAGTCGACTCAAAAGCAGTTGCTGCAGGGTTCCAAGTCTGTTCCTGTGGGGGCAGCACACCGCACATATATGAGCTAACTCACCTCACTGTAGCGCCTGACGGTGACCAGGTGGTAACCGCGTTGTGCCACGTAGCTCTTAAAATCTTGAGACCACTGTTCCTCCTTGTCCTTTCCACTACAGTAATCCGTGATCAGCACTCTGCCGCCCGGTTTGAGCCAGCGGTGGAAGCGGGAGAACAGGAAAGGCTTGTCCTGTAGTGGGGAATGGGGGGGATGACATGTAGTGGGGTATATGACACTGTTGCGAGGATAGACAGCAACCATAGAAACGCACTGGTCCTGCAATTCTCCGACAACTCAAAGTCTTCATTGACTAAACTTCCTTTGTCGAATCAGATATTAGATGGCCTGCTAAAGCTGCATGACCCACAAGTCGTCTAGACTCAAATATAGATGATGCACGCTGCTGTGGCACGCGGAAGCACATCTAGATGACTTGCCTGGATGTGCAGCAGCGTGTCGCGGGTGTAGATGCAGTCGAAGGACGCATTGGGGAAGTCTCTGGTCAGGCAGTCAGCCACTTCGAACTGCAACACGGGCACGGATGCTGACGTGGATGTCGGTGCTGACGTGGCATCCGCAGCACGAATGCTGCGGGATCGCTCAATGGCAAGAGAGATCTGGTAGAGCGGGTGGGAGAAAAGATGTGGGAGAGGGCGCATCTTGAGATAGGGAGAAGTGGTGGGGGGGGGGGGGGGGGAAAGGGGGGGAGGGATTGGGGTGGGGAGGGGCTGGTGGGAGTAAGAAAAATGTGGAAAGAACACTGGGATTGACCAGGGATCAGCCAAGAGGGCTACAGGCACCATGTCATGCACACCCACGGCCCAAGCAATTCTGCTTGTAGCCCTTTCAGCCGAACCCGAGGCCAATCCCAGAGTTCTTTCCACAATCAAAACCTTTTTAAATTGTGAAGGGAGTATGAAGCAGAATAGACCATACTGTGTGGTGAAATGTGCGGTTAGATTAGGGTGTGTTTGTGTGTGTGTGTGTGTGTGTGTGCTTGTGTGTGCGCATGTGTATGTGCGTATGCATGGATGTGTGAACCACAGTACCATGGTAGGAGAGGGATCGAGGGCATGCACGCCAGCGCCATACGTCTCAGCCATGACCAGAGCGCTGTCCCGCAGCCCACACAGCACATGTCTGTGTGTATGTGTATGTGCCGTATATGTCCGTACGTGGACGTGTGTGTGCAAGCGTAATGTACGTGTGTAGGCATGTAGTATAAGCCGTATTACCATGGTAGGAGAGAGGTCGATGGCATGCACGCTAGCGCCATACGTCTCAGCCATGAGCAGAGCACTGCCTCCCAGCCCACACCCCACGTCCAGCACCCGGTGCTTGGGGGACAGCGAGAGCAGCGGGAGGAGAGCGAGTGTGGATGCTGGGAGGGGCAGCAGGGAGATGGGGTCGGGAGGTGTGAGGGGGAACGTATGGTCTGATTATGGTACGCACTCAAAAGCAGAGCGCTGCCTCCCAGCCCACACCCCACGTCCAGTACTTGGTGCTCGGGGGTCAGCGAGAGCAGCGGGAGGAGAGCAAGTGTGGATGCTGGGAGGGGTGGCAGGGAGGCAGCGTATTTCGGCAGAGTGATGGGACTGAGAAATGAATGAGAATGGGCCGGGTGAAAGTAGAGAACGAAAGGTTGGGAATGAGGTGATGGGATGAGGTGATGGGAATGAGGTGATGGGAATGAGGTGATGGGAATGAGGTGATGGGAATGAGGTGATGGGAATGAGGTGATGGGAATGAGGTGATGGGAATGAGGTGATGGGAATGAGGTGATGGGAATGAGGTGATGGGAATGAGGTGATGGGAATGAGGTGATGGGAATGAGGTGATGGGAATGAGGTGATGGGAATGAGGTGATGGGAATGAGGTGATGGGAATGAGGTGATGGGAATGAGGTGATGGGATGAGGTGATGGAAATGAGGTGATGGGAATGAGGTGATGGGAATGAGGTGATGGGAATGAGGTGATGGGAATGAGGTGATGGGAATGAGGTGATGGGATGAGGTGATGGGAATGAGGTGATGGGAATGAGGTGATGGGAATGAATGAGATGATGGGATGAGGTGATGGGAATGAGGTGATGGGAATGAGGTGATGGGAATGAGGTGATGGGAATGAGGTGATGGGAATGAGGTGATGGGAATGAGGTGATGGGAATGAGGTGATGGGAATGAGGTGATGGGAATGAGGTGATGGGAATGAGGTGATGGGAATGAGGTGATGGGAATGAGGTGATGGGAATGAGGTGATGGGAATGAGGTGATGGGAATGAGGTGATGGGAATGAGGTGATGGGAATGAGGTGATGGGAATGAGGTGATGGGAATGAGGTGATGGGAATGAGGTGATGGGAATGAGGTGATGGGAATGAGGTGATGGGAATGAGGTGATGGGAATGAGGTGATGGGAATGAGGTGATGGGAATGAGGTGATGGGAATGAGGTGATGGGAATGAGGTGATGGGAATGAGGTGATGGGATGAGGTGATGGGAATGAGGTGATGGGAATGAGGTGATGGGATGAGGTGATGGGAATGAGGTGATGGGATGAGGGGATGGGAATGAGGTGATGGGAGTGAGGTGATGGGAATGAGGTGATGGGATGAGGTGATGGGAATGAGGTGATGGGATGAGGTGATGGGAATGAGGTGATGGGAATGAGGTGATGGGAATGAATGATGGGATGCGGTGATGGGAATGAGGTGATCGGAATGAGGTGATGGGAATGAGGTGATGGGATGAGGTGATGGGAATGAGGTGATGGGAATGAGGTGATGGGAATGAGGTGATGGGATGAGGTGATGGGAATGAGGTGATGGGAATGCGGTGATGGGATGAGGTGATGGGAATGAGGTGATGGGAATGAGGTGATGGGAATGAGGTGATGGGATGGACGAGAATGGGCGGCGGGGAACTTTCATGGCTTTGGAGATCTGGACGAGGAAATGGCGATGAGCGGGGATGAGTCGAATTTTGAGTCGACTCGAAAATCGACTCATCTCACGCGCTTTCATGGCTTTGGAGATCTGGACGAGGAAATGGCGATGAGAGGGAAGAGTGGAGCATGTGCAAGACTCAGCAACGACGAGAAAGACCACTGTCAATCTCCCGTTGACTTTTGTTGACTCCTGTTGACCCCCCACCCTTAACTCACCTCGACCGCCAGTGCTGACGAAGCCACGCCCGTAGATGTGCTCGTAGCGCAGGATGCCCTCCAGGCTGTACTGCTGCTGCTCCTCCTCGCTCCCCTCCTTCTCCTCCTCCTTCTCCTCCTTCTCTTTGTTCTCCTTGCTCTCCCTGCTCTCCTTCCTGCTGCTCTGGGTGGTGTGAAGTCCCTCGTGAATGCTCTGTAGCACTTTCTGCCACACCCAGCACACCTGCGTCTGGAAACCCTTCACTCGGGAGTACGCTGCAACGCTCCTCATCTCCCTCAGTCTGAACCTCCCCTCCCCTCCCTCATCCTGCCCCTCATGCTTCTCCTGCCCCTGCTGCTGCGGATGGCTCTGGTGCTGGTTGATTGGGCGATGTGCTTCTGAGAAGGCCTGGAGTGGGAAGAATGGTGGACGTGGAGTGGCACGTGCGATGCAGGTGAGATGGTTCATGTGCAGGGGGTTTCTACTGAAAAAGAAAGGAAAAGAAAAGAAAAGAAGGTTTGAGGCGTCTTTAAGCCCACGTGGCAGCAGAAGAGTGGGTGGCGGTAGTGGGTGGGGTTGGAGCGATAGGAGCGGTAGGCAGGTATGTGGTAGAAAAAGGTATGGACGGAGGAGAAGTCGTAAAGCCCACCTGGCAGTAGAAGAGCGGGTGGCGGTAGTGGGTGGGGTTGGAGCGGCGTTGCTGGCTGCCAGACTGCTCCAGGCAGGACTCGCGGAAGAAGAATAAGCCTCCAGGGGGCAGGGCGCGCAGCAGCTCTTGCGCCAAGGCGTGCACCTGTGGGTGGGTGGTTGGGAGGGAGTGGGAAGGTGAAGGAGGGTGGGGGAAGTGATGAGTGAGTGGGCATTGAGGGGAAGAGGAGGTCAGAGAAAGAGGGCTGTTTGAGGAGCAATGAAAAAGAGAGAATGGATAGCAAACGGAGATGAGCGAGTCAAGCTGGTCAAAAAAGTCAAGCAAGTCATGTGAGTCAAGAGATTCAGGAAAGTCAGGAAATAGAAGAAGACTCTGCCTTGACTCTTTGGAATCTTTGCTATTTGAAGATAGACCCGTACCTCTGAATCCGAGAGGTACATGAGCAGCCAATTGGAGAACACCAGGTCAGGCGCCAGCCTCGTCAGCAGGGCGGCTGACGAGGCATCTGCCACGTCAGCACAGACGAAGTCAACGTTGGGATGCTGGTGGGCATGTGCTTGCACGTTCTGCCATCCGAGGGGGTTTGGGGGGTGGACGGGTTGGGCAATGCATAGCTGATCAACGCAGTCAACACAATCAAATACTGGCAATGAAATCATTTCCCTCTGCGTCCAGCAAACAAGCCGCATGTCTCACAGAATTCTCTGAGCCGGCTCAAAAGCAAATCAAAGGAGACTGACCACAGCAAGGGCGTGCGGCAGGAAGTCAAGGGCAGTGAGCCACGTGGCCCTGCGTGCCAGGTCAGCAGTGAAGCGGCCAATGCCCGCGCCCAGCTCCACCACCAGCTTGGGTCGCTCCATTGGCGGTGGTGTGAGGCCGTCAATGATACTCAGTATCTGAGGAGGAAAGCGGGAGGATACAGGGCAGAAAAGTCAGGACAGTAAGGGCAGGAGCATACATGAGTCAAGGGAGTCAAGCAAGTCAAAGCTCACCTCAGGGCGTTCAAGGGAGTCAAGCAAGTCAGCCTGAGCATCCAGCATCATGGACGCAACCGACATGACAGCTGGCTCCTTCCCTCTGTCACCCTGGTCAACCGAGTCAAGGCAGTCAACGGAGTCAACGTGGTCAAAGTGATCACAGTGACCATTCCTATCAGCAGATGCGCCTTCCCCAGCCGTTGGTGCCATCGTCACGCCATTGCCATTCGCGCGCTCGCTGTTTTCTGCGGACTTAAAGCCTGTCATTCTAGGGCCATTCTTGGTAATTTTGGTCAAGATGGGCACAGGATCCTGAGAGTTGATCTTGGCCGTCAGATCGTGGCCGTTAGTGGCAGTGTGCTGGGGAGACACATTCTCCACCGTTGGATTGTCGTTGATTGTGGCGCCATTGCCATTGCCAACGCTGATCTCCCGCCAGTATTGCGCCTGCGTGATTCGCTCCACTGAACAACAGGAAAAAAACCGGTAGAGGAAGAAAGGAAACTGATACATGTCATTGAACAGCGGAAGCTATTTCATTGAACACGTGAAAGTTATGGAAGAAATGAATACTGGGCTGGTGAACTGTCACCCTTGAACTGAAGATCAGTTATTTCAAAATATATCGTGAAGGGTGAGATATAATTATCTCGAAGTAGATGTAAGCCATCATTAAAGTGGCGTACGGGAAAAACAGGGGTAGCACACTCAATTTGTGAGACATACTCGGAAGAAAAACAACTGATGAAATGCTTCCTCCGCTTCAGAGTGGATTGAGACGAAAGGATCTCTTCCTGAATGGCAAGATAAATTTCTGCTCTGTGCATTCCAAGCTATTAGACTCAGATATCAAGGAACGCAATTTGGCGAGTATTCTTGGAAAAATGCGTCGTGATGCAATGCGTGATTACCAATGCACGAGGTTTCAGCCATTGCTGCTAGTGGGCGGATTGGCGTTGGTTAATGCCGTTCCAGCAACTGCAACAGCAGCTGCTGGTGGTGGTGCTAGCAGTGTGCTGGCAATGCATTTTTTGTGGAGGTGTGGTGATTTCCCTTGTGACAGGCAGTCAGACAGGAAGGCGTTGGTTTCCAGGCTTGAATTTCTCAGTTCCCAATTCAATTTTGTGACATTCGCGATTCGTGCGAGTTCGCGGTTCGGAAATTCCAAGAACAGCGAACAGCCAGTGGATGAAAAACACCTGTTCTATTCCGTTATTAGCCCCATCGACACTTTGAGAGTATTCTCATCAATAATTGAACATAGAACGAAACATATGTCTGTTCCAGATATCTAGATTCTCCCGCCGTGGAGCCCCAAATCTCGCGTTTTTTCCAGACTTGTTGGGGTCTTCGTCCCACGTGGCACGCTTTCTCGTGCCAAGACCAGACTGGCACCCAATCTATGGTGAGCACATTCCCAACTCCCCGCGGTGTGTCCTACGTGGAGCTGCCAGTCCCTCGAGATTCTCAATGTACAGTATTCTGGAATAAGTACAGTGAATACTATAGCTTGTACAGCTAGCCTGTAACACATACTGTACCCGTAAAAACACAGTTCTGACAGTCTGGCGTCCTTCTCATCGTTCTCTAGAAAGAGGAACTTCTGGCCATTGATGTCTCATTTTCTGCATCACAGGGATCTTCCTTGATCTGTTTCCGCTTCTTAGGTTCTAGGCCATCTCCGCGCCTTTCCTCCTTCCTAATCGCCTCCCATACCACCGCTTCATCTTCTCGTCCCTTCCACCCGCGTCGCCTCATCACATCCTCCCTCTACACTCCATCCCCGCTAAAATGGCCTTCCTGAAGAATGCGATTCCTCTTGCTCGCCGAGCCCTGTCGTCCGCAGCAGGCTCGGCACAGCCTCGGAAGGTGGCGGTTCTGGGCGCTGGCGGCGGCATTGGGCAGCCTCTGAGTCTTCTGATGAAGTCGAGCCCGCTTGTAACGGATCTGTCGCTGTACGATGTGGCGGGTACTCTCGGAGTTGCTGCTGACATCAGCCACATCTGCTCCAACGCCAAGGTAAGGCTGAAAGATCGGTAGAAGATACATCGGTAGACAGGTCGACCTGCGAGGTTTTACCTTATCCTACTGGTCTAAGCAACTTCTTTTTATCCATATGATTCCCCTGCGATTCGACTTGTATTTTCATGTACCCCATGGTACAAGATTAGACCGTTTCTCTGATTAGTTCACGCCTTAGCAGGTACAATCAAACTTATTACTCGTTGTCCTCGTTATATTGAAACCCGATAAACAGGCGAAGGGCTATCTCGGCTCGGACGAGCTTGCCGGAGCTCTGGAGGGCAGCGATCTGGTGCTGATCCCCGCTGGCGTGCCACGTAAGCCCGGCATGACCCGGCAAGATCTGTTCAACATCAACGCGGGCATCGTGAAGGGCCTGTGTGAAGCCATCTCCAAGCACTGCCCCACGGTAAGATCTAGGTGTGGTTCAAGTCGCTAGCCAAGGGATATCCATGTGTGTACCAAGACGCAAAATCGATCGGTATGGTTCAGGTGTGGTTAATTTTGGATCTAAGTGTGGTGCGAGCCACATTAACGCTCGGTAAGATTTAGCTGTTCTGGGTCACATTACGCTCGATAAGATCCAGGTGGTGGTTTGAGCCGCATGAAACGCTCGGTTCGATCTAGGTGCGGTTTATGGCACATCAATCCGCGGGAAGCAAGTCGTGTTAGCGCGCGGTCAGATTACGCGCTGTAACTCATTGCGATACTCCCCTACCCTTGCAGGCGGCGGTGGGCATGATCATCAACCCCGTGAACTCCACCGTGCCCATTGCGGCGGAGGTGTTCGCCAAGGCAGGCACGGCCACCCGTCACACGATCACAGTTACCACATGTACTCAATTGCTCTGTAATCCGTGCCATTGTTCCCCTTGCTCTGTTCCAGGCGGCGGTGGGCATGATCAGTAACCCTGTGAACTCTACCGTGCCCATCGCGGCGGAGGTGTTCGCCAAGGCGGGCACGTACGACCCCAAGAAGCTCTTCGGCATCACCACGCTCGACATCGTGCGCGCGCGCACCTTCTACGCCGAGGCCAAGGGGCTCAACGCGGAAGGTGAGGGGAATGAGTCAAGGAGCGGAACGCGGAAGGAGGGTGGGGGGTCACGGTGGGACGAAAGGCGGGGAGAATGAGCCAAGGGGCGGGATGCGGAAGGTGAGAGAGAATGGGTCAAGGGTCGGGACGGGGAAGTTCGGAGGAAAGGTCAAGTGGGCGGGACGGGGAAGGATGGCGGGAATGTGTCAAGGGCCGGGACGCGGAAGGTGGGGTGGGAGAGTGACTGCTCGGGTTTTGGAGAATACTGTTGAAAAAAAAAGGGAAGATAAGGGGGCAATGGGGCTGGGATTTGTTCTCGGCTGCTGCTCACTCTACCTCTCAACCCACTCCCTCACGTGCTCGGTGCCTCTCACCCCCACTCACTCACCCACTGACCCCCTCGCCCACTCACGCGCTGTGTGTGTGTGTGTGTGGATCAGACGTGAGGATACCGGTGGTGGGTGGCCACACGGGCGCCACCATCGCCACTGACGCACCCACTCACTCACTCACATGCCGTCTTCCGTCTCCTGTTCTCTTTGGCTTTGTATGTACGTTTGTGTGTATGTCCGTGTGTGTGTGGATCAGACGTGAGGGTACCGGTGGTGGGCGGCCACGCGGGCGCCACCATCATTCCGCTCTTCTCCCAGGCGACGCCCTTCGTGGAGCTGTCGGATGAGGAGAGGGATCAGCTCACCAAGCGCACGCAGGATGGCGGTACCGAGGTGGTGCAGGCCAAGGCGGGCAAGGGCTCCGCCACGCTCTCCATGGCGTGAGTGCCGCCCTCTTGCTCTCGTGAGGTGGTGTGAGGTGGTGTGAGGAACGTGAGGTGGTGCAGGCCAAGGCGGGCAAGGGCTCCGCCACGCTCTCCATGGCGTGAGTGCCTTCGCTAGCCTCTACTTTGCTTGCCGTGTTGTGAATCACTTGTCATAGCTGCTCGCATGTCACCATCGAATGTGCCTTGTTTTTGTGTACATAGCAAAACCTCCCTCCCTTAAGCACCGTTCCCCTGCTCACCCCTCCACCCTTTTGCCCACCACTCCCTTCCCCACCACTCTCTCTCCTCCTCCTCCCCCCCACCTCCGACAGCTACGCAGCGGCAGTGTTTGCTGACTCGTTGCTCAAGGCCATGAACGGTGCCCCCAACGTCGTTGAGTGCACCTGCATTGTCTTTGCTTCCAACCTGTCCCATCGCATGCTCAAATTTCACCTTACTCTCTTCCGTCCTCCCCACAACCTTCAGCTATGCCGCGGCTGTGTTTGCTGACTCGTTGCTCAAGGCCATGAACGGTGCCCCCAACGTTGTGGAGTGCACATATGTCGAGTCGAAGCTCACAGAGGCGCGCTTCTTTGCCTCCAAGGTACGATCCCATCCCCCACCCTGTTGGCCACCCTCTAATTTCATGCACCCTCTTGATTGACTAGACCCTAGTGTCCCGCCTCGTCCCCAGCGTTGTTGAGTGCACATACGTCGAGTCCAAGCTCACAGAGGCGCGCTTCTTTGCCTGCAAGGTAAGAACCGCGTGCTGTCTTCTACCCTCTGCCTGCGTGCAGTCATGCTCTTGACTTAAGCTTCCCGAGTCTTTAAATCTACCCTTTTTCCTCTCTGCCCAATGTATTTCCTGGCTCTCTTCCCGTGTGCCCCCCCCCCAGGTGCGTCTGGGCCCCAGTGGGGCGGAGGAGATTCTTCCCCTGGGTAACCTTTATCCCCTACGAGGAGAAGGCCATTCAGCGCGCCCTGCCCGAGCGCACCAACGTGTGAAATTCTGACTCGCTGTCCCCGGTGTCTCTCTTTACCCTTCTTCCCCGTGTGCCCCCCCCCCACAGGTGCGTCTGGGCCCCAGTGGCGCAGAGGAGATCCTTCCCCTGGGCGACCTTATCCCCTATGAGGAGAAGGCCATTCATCGCGCCCTGCCTGAGCTCCAGGAGTCCATCCAGGCTGGTGTGGACTTCGTTAAGAACGTCTAAATGCCAGAATACAGAGACCCGATATGATGCTGTGATATGAAGTGGAATTTATAACCACTAAGGATGGGTAATTCATTGATTTGGTGATATGCCTGTGTAATATGAAGAGGCACCCTCGAATGAAAGCGCTGGCATGGAAAATTTTATGCCAACAAAAGTGGAGATGAAAAGGCGTGTTGTTTCTTCGGCTATGATTGATTTTTTGCAGGCTGCGAAATGTGCCATTTTCGTTAGTCGATCGGCGATAACCAGAATCGCGTCGTTCCCACTCGCTCCGGCCGATAACCCCGTGACGAGGTCCATCGTCACCCGCTGCCAAGCACGCTCTGGGGGTGGTATTGGCTGCAACTGTCCCGCCGGCCGCTGTCGTGATGATTTCATGAGCTGACAAGTGGGACACGATGCCACGTGTCGTTGTACGTCGGTCAATATTTCGGGCCAGTAATAATACCGCTGCAGCTGCTGCCGTGTTTTTTCTACTCCGAAATGCCCCGAGGTAACTCCGTGGTGTGCCTCCTAGAACAGTAATTCCCGTAGCAGTGTATACCCAGGCACCCAAATGCGGTCAGTCCCGGTTTTTACGTAATAGACTCCCTTTGCTGTTGCGAACTGCTGCTGGGGCGGTGAACAGAGAACATTTTTCAGGCCAGAGAAGGCAGCATGCTCTTTCTCCCCCCACATAAAAGCGACCCCCTTCCGCAATAAATCCGTTAGTGGGGCAGTTAACCGTGCCATATCGGGGACGAACCGATGCACATAATTAACGAACCCTAAAAAGCTTTGCAGCTCCGTGATGTTCGTCCGGGGATGCCACGCTTTTACCGTATCCAGCTTCTTTGGGTCGATTTCAACTCCAGCCTCCGAAATAACGTGCCCCAAAAATTCTAACCTATCCTGGAAGAACTCGCACTTGGAACCCTTGGTCAGTAATCACTACTCGTCTAAAACCTTAAATACTGCTTCCAGATCTGCTAAGTGCTGCTGCTTATCCCGACTGTACACTAGGATGTCGTCGACGTAAACTATTACACATTTATCTAAGAGCGGCCTAAATGCCTCGTTCATGGTCATCTGAAAAATCGCCGGTGCGTTGGTCAGCCCGAATGGCATCACCGTGTACTCGAACGACCCGTACCTAGTCCTGAAAGCTGTTTTAGCGCAGTCCGATGGTTCGACCCTAATCTGATGGTAACCTCCCCGTAAATCTATTTTTCGAAAAAACCCGTGCTGTTCGCAATTGGTTGATCAGTTCGTCGGCGCGGGGAATGGGGTACCGCGACTTGACTGTTACCTTGTTCAGTGCTCTGTAGTCGATACACATGCGAAAATCCCCGTCTTTTTTCGGCGTGAATACTATTGGTGCGGCGAACGGTGACGAGCCCGGTCTGATGAATTTTTTTTCTAGCAGGTAATCTAACTGCTTCCTTAGTTCGTCGAGCTCGGGCTGTGGCAGTCTGAACTGGCGCTGTACGGTTGGCTGTGCCCTCGGTTCTAATTCGATTCGGTGGTCATGTGCTCGCTGAGGTGGCAGTCCTTCCGGTAATTCGTCGGGGAAAATCCCGGGGTATCGTTTCAACAATTCCTGTAATTCGGGCGGTACGGCTGCCAGCAGTTTCTTGAAATCATTCGGCTGCTCTGCTTCCTCTACTACTGCGATGTCTACTGCGTACACGTTGGCTCCAGCAGCGACATCCCGTTTCATTATGATGGCGTTGACGTGTACCGTTGAAGACTCGGGCGACTGCCAGCGAGGTAGCTCGACCCAGTTACCACTACTTCGCACGGTGTAGCTACCCGTCGTCCGGTCAATTCGCGGGTTATACCATCGCAGCCAATCACGTCCCAGTAAAATATCGTGCCCATATAGTGTCGTTGCGAGCATTTCCAGTGTAAACCTGAAATTTCCCCCGCAGCGGATTTTGACTCTCTCTACCTTTTCCCGAATGGCCAGTGGCGTGCCGTCGACTAAGCGTGCGTCTATCTCCGGTAAGCAACGGCTAAGTGTCAGCTGCACTATTAACTAAACTGTGGCTTGCTCCTCCGTCGATAAAAATCTTCACTGCTGCTCCCTGTATTTTCCCGTGGATCAGTACTGGGCAATCCGTCGCTGTACCCTCCTTATTCGTCCGAGTCCGATCGATAGCATGAATCGGTACTGTGACTCGGTGAGGGTCGGTGGGGTTGGGCGAGCAGGCAGTCTCGTCAGTAGTTGGCCCGATTCCTACTGACTGCTGGCGTTTCCCTGCTTTGGAGACTCCCTCCCCTGCTCTGCTCCGCGGCGCCTTAGCTCCTCTGGGCATTCGCTCTTGCGATGGCCCGGCCTGTTGCAACCAAAGCAGCGCCCCTTAAACGGCGCGGCAGCTGCATTCGTCGCAACAGCGTGTACAGTGGAGTGCTCGATCGGTCCCCGAGGACGATGTCCATAGTAGGACCCCGGTCTCGGACGGCGTAGAATGTCGATTTTCTCGGCGAGCGCGAGAATCTCGTTGAAGTTCGAGAGCCCGCGTAGCATGATTTCGTGCGAGATGTCCGGCTTCAGCCCTCCGACGTAACGGTCCACCCGCTCCGCTTCGTGAATGTAGCCGACTTGCTCGCATAATGCGAGAAAACCACTCATATAGTCTTGAACCGATCCAAGCTGCCGCCAAGTGCGCAATCTCTGACGCGCCGAAATAGAAGCCGCGATCGGCTCGAAGCGCGCCCGAAGCCCTGCGCACCACGCATCCCACGTGCTGTATTGGGCGGTCTCGCAGAATGAACTCCAGGTGACAGCTGGGCCCGTGGGCCCTTCCTCTTGCGACGGTGGCTCGTAGGCGCGTGGCGACGTCACGATGACTCGCCACCTGCCCATGGCGGGGCCCCTAAGCAGTGAAACGGCATACCGAATCTTCGCTGCGTCCGACTCGACGTAATTCGCGTCGAAGAAGACGTTCATCGTGAAGACCCACGATTGAACCGTCGGACCTCCTCGCTGGCTCGGGTCGAAGCAGGGCGGGCGTTGCGGCTTGAGTGGCATTGGTGCCATAATGGTCTGTTCGCCACTTGTCGCCGCGAACTCCACGTGTCGACGGGCTTCGCGAGGCTCCCGCGGGCTTGGTGCGACCCTTTCTTCCCATGCCAGGCATCGGCTGGGCGGCACCATCGCTGGCTGCGCCTGAGCGCTGTCCTACGCTGTTGTTTCGTGTTGGTGTGCCGGACGAGATTACGATTGGCTCGTCTCATTGTGCAGATGCATTTGTCGGTGCGTGTGGTGGCGCTGGGGTGTTCATCGTTGATTGCTGACGCGCTGAGTCACGTTCCGCTGTGAGCGTCGCAATTTCGAGCGCCGAATCTTCAAGTTGGCGCACCAGACGGTCGAGCTGCTCTTGCGTCAATGTGGCGAGCGTGAATTCAGCCATGGCGGGGGTGTCGGGTGAGCTAAGCGAGAGCCTCGGTCGTGGCCGTGCGTGCTTACGAGAGAGCACTACGAGCGGCGGTGCTGTGTCGCTGAGGGACGTCTACCCCCCCCCCCCCCCAAAAATGAGATAGTGGGGAAGCGAATGTGTGGGTGCGGTCCGAGAGGAGATCGTAGGCTCTGAATACCAAGTGTTACGAGTGCAATTGAGTGAACGAACAAGAATTGCATTATCGGAGCAAGAGTACAATGAGCGAAGGCATGAGCGAAGAATCTATAGCGAAACTGCAGTGGTAACGGTAATGGACTGTGGTTGTCGCGCGACGGGCCTGGGACTGAGGTTGGGAAAAGTGTCGAAGCGGAGGCCCGGAGCGCGGGTTACCCGCCAAGCCGTGAAGTCGGGGTGCGATGTGCGAAGGTGGCGGGCGGATTGTCGATGCGAGGGTTGCGAGTGGTAATGGTGCTGACAGTGGTGCTACAGTGATGTACGCGTTGAGCAGGGATGCGAAGTAAGGAAAATGATTTTTCCTGACAATGGTACTTTACCGACTCAAGCGCATTTCAGAGGCAAAAAAGACATTTGTGAAGAGTCACACGAGCACCGTGGAGGAGAGGACATCTGACGGCGACACGGCTACCATCGGAAAGAGTGACCACGACCAGTCCGAAACCAGCAAGAACGCGGGTGTGTCATCCACCCACAAGCAGCGGACTCACGAGCCCTGAATTTAGCGAACGCCATCAAATTCAGCTGACCAAGATGGGAAAGGTCAAGCGATGGAATTGGTGTGTGATTGGCTTCAGTTCAGAAGTGCGCTTGCTAGTGGACCAAGTTACGAGGCGAGAGATGCGGTGAGTGTGAGGCGAGGCCTTCTGGGTCATATGCTTGCGTGCGCCCAGTAGTGAGACGAGAGGAGGTCGGCAGTGGGTTGGGTTGGTTTCTCCAGCTAAGCGTTCAATGCTGTGGCCGGGAGTCATACCAGTTCGTGTGACAAGTAGGAGCTTCAACTTGCTCTGTTACCCCATGAGACGTCCTCAACCGCCACATCGGATACCACCATCAACAGTTATCGGAGTACAATGGCAGTGCTGGTGTAGACATCACAACATTACGTCATCAATTTACTCACAGCGCGATTCCCACTGTCAGACGATAGGCAAACAAGCCGAGGACGATAGGCAAACAAGGCGTGGTCTACGCGCTACAAACCACCAAGCAACGAAATAATCCGTTTTTTTTTTCAATATCAGTAATATAGCCTAAAAATCTAGGTTTGGAAGCTTGGAAAGGATCAGCCAGCCTACAATACAGAGCACAGCATTTGTGTGCTTGAATCAGCCCACCTAGAGGCACTGTACAGCCCACCAGAAAGAACGAAGCGAGTGTGTTTAGTTGAGGGGCTCCCTAGGGAACTCCTCGACGGGGCTGAGCTGCTTGGCGCGGTGGTACTCGGTTTGCGCGCAGTCCACGGACAGCACGGAGCTCGACTCGTACAGCCGGGGAGTGCCATCGAGGAACCCGGCGCCCTCCGCGCTGTCAGCCGAGACCGGCCGGTGCAGGTTCGCGATCAACCGCTGGAAATCGGCAGCACGGGCAGCGTGGTCG